CATGCTTTAGGGGGGATTTTCCTTTCCTGTGTTACAAAGGGTTTTCTGCATGTAAATGGTCTGCAAAAGCTAAAATCCCAAAGTTCCTGTAGTCCTTTATTTACTTCCGTGACATAGTGACATCACTATGTAACACTCGCTCTTATAGGCTAGCACTCCAACACATTGTACTTGATAGGCTAAGGAGCGGGATATCTTTAAGTGGTTCACCAATCCCAACAGAGCCGGTCAGCTAACCAATCAGAGCAGACTGGGCTCTGGTTTCAGACAGAGGGTGAAAAGAGGTGCTGCAGCACAGGCAGTATGAGAAAAATAAAGAGCTTTTTGATCATTTTGCGTTCACACCGCAGTAATTTTCCCACTTTAGTTCCGATATAGTTCCGAAATGTCGCGTTCACACCAAAAAGAGCCGGAACTAAAATGAGTTCATCAGAACCTTTTTTACCCCCTTTTCAGTCCCTGCTAGAGAGCAGGTACTTTCGTGGGAGAAAAAGGTTCCTATGTCTGATCGGCTGGGCGGATTGCAAACCACGCCCCGTAAAACTCCAAAAAAGGTTTGTGAAGCCGCCATTTTATTATCCTCGCATTAGCATTATTAGCATTAGCCCAGTGCAGAAACGAAGAGAGACTAACTTATGGCAACACAAAAGAAAACATGGGAGCGGTGGAGATGAGGAGGGGTCGGCGTTCTGGCGATTTACTCGGAAGGCTTCAGTAGAAGCTGCTGGGAGTCCCAGCAGCTTCTACTGAAGCCAGTCCCCAACTCCGGGGACTTCCGGCCGGGGACTTCGGGTGGCAGTATACGCCGTGAAGTTGTTTGCGGCCTGCCAGTAAACCCAAAGAAGAAGAAGAAGAAGTGACGTCAGCGGCTTAATTTGCCTAATCCTCCCCCAGGGATTTATTCCGGTGTGAACGTGATCTGTATTTAGTTCATGAGAACTAAAGAGTTCTCATGAACTAAGTTCTCATGAACCTTTGTGGGAAAAGTACTGCAGTGTGAATGCGCTTTGAAGGCACAAAATACAATTATTTTCTTTAACTTTAAGAAAATGTATTTACTCACAAATATTCTCTCTCGCTTCTTCCTACATTTGAACCTATAACCCTTTGTTTTTTCGGTCCTAATAGTCCATTTAAACTGACAGAGGGAAACCATAACTCTAGTATTTGTGTGTTTTTTTTCTCTTTCTGTAGATTAAACATACTGGCAGGAGTAAGGTAATGTAAAGGATGGAAACTCAATAAAGTGTGATGATGATGTGATGTATTTAGCAAGGAGGGTTCAAGGCCTTGCTCTGCACATGTTTTCAGCATGCCGTCATTTTCTTATACTGCCAATCCCCACTGGGACGTACAGTAATGGGGGAGAGAGAAGGAGGGAGTAAAGGGGGGAGAGCCGTGAAGACATTAAGAAAGGTGCACTGGAGCTTCGTGGTCTTTTGGATGAAGTTGTCCAGGTACTGCTGCTGCCGTTTCTTTGACAAATTGTTTTGAAAAATCCCAGAGAAGTGAATGGGAGTTGAAGTGAGAAGTAACACCCTGCAGAAACTCAACATAGATGGATTAGAGAAAGGGGAAAGGGGCAACACAATCCTGCTAATGTGTCAGATTAAACCTTAACAATCTGTGTGTTATCTGTATGCTTCTGCACAACATCTCCAGGACAAATGACTCAACTTGACATAGATATGATGCTCACCCTGGGAAAAGGAAATAAGGACGCCTGTCTAAAGGTGTAATAGTAGTGAACACACACATATTAAGTAAGAAAATGGTCTTTTGTTCATATTAAAGCATTGAAACTAGCACATATAGCTCCTTTTTCAATATAAAGTAGTTTTTTGGCCGGATTTATGACTACAAATAAAACTACAATAACATTTGAAGAAAAAGGAAAATAACCAAACCTCAGTTTCTTTTGGACGCCCTGGTGGTCCGGGCCTCAGTCTCACCTGCTGACTCTCACAGAAAGTAATTTGTCCCGGCGCTGGGAGGTGAGGGCTAAATAAAATGAAACATTGTTATCATGATTAATCAGCGGCTCTGTCAGCGGGGCCAAGGTGAATAGAAAGTGGCACAAATGACTGCATGGAATTCCTGATGTGTCAGACAGAATAAAGCTGCAATGCTCGTCATTCACTCACTCTCCATTTCACCCACTTATTCAAAGCAAAGCCTGTTCCACTGGGTTTCATTATACATCTTATTTCTCTGTAGTTTGAGCAAACGTCTGGGGGAGAGGATTGTACATCATTAAACGTAACCTAGACACAGGATTACATGCTATACATACCATCTTGTATTTTCTTATCCCCCATCAAAATACAGATTTGATGCATGGAGTGACACAAACCATGTTTCATTCGTTAAACTGCATTAAGTATTTAATTCTACATCGGACACAAAATACATATTAATTTGATCACCACCAGCTTTTTTCAGGTTCCATCACACCTCAGTCTCCAGACAGGTGTTAAGAACAAATGAAGAGGAGAAGCTGTCCACACAATAAAATGTGAAAGCTCCCAACTACTTCTTAATTAATGCAACGTTCCGACTTTCATCAAGCCAAAAACTCAGATTTGAAACCGTGCCATGCTGTTTTACGATTGATATCTTTTGTCCTGCACCTGTGTGAAGTCATAACGTATTCTTCAATCTCAAACATTTAAGCCAATATAAACAAGAAGTCCTTAAAGTGCTGCAGAAAAGAACAAATTAACATTTACGATTCGTGACAACTCCATCTGCTGATAAAGGCCATGTGATGAACAGGAACATCTGCTAAACTCTTGGAGAGATTATTTTGTCAACTGCTGTTTCCAAGGTCACAAATAAACTTTGAATCTCCAAAATGTTGATGTATTTATTTTGTTTAAACGACAGTGTTTTGTTTGCGAAATTCCAGGAGTTTTACACAACTTTCCATTTTTAAACTGGAAGATTAGCATGACCTAAAAGCATTGGCATCTTCCTGGTTAGTTTGAAGAATGGATCGACACGTTGGTTCAGATTGAGACATTCATTTTTTGTTTATTCCTGTGGCTCATTAAAACTTGTTGATATATACAGGCCATAAAAAAGTCCATCAGAATTCCTCCCTTTATCTGACTGGAGATCATGTGCAAGGAACTCCAGAAATGACTTCATAAGTGAAGAGTTTGTGATTAAATGGAAGTCATTGCTGGTTCTTATTTAGGATGCTGTGAAAATAGCACTCAAGTGCTTGAACCCCACGTCTGTTTACAGCATCTACTTACTGGCAACTTACCTCAAATGATGTGATCTGCCCTGATGGGTTGACCTCCAGGCCTTTAATGGAGTCTGTTGGCAGCACACTTCATCCTTTTAGGAGATAGAGGAGTCTGAAAGGACGGCTGCTTCTCCCTTCTTCTTGCCTGCGGAGGTCATTTGGTCTGATGCCTTTCACTCCACATAATATAAACTTCCTCACCACAAGCTGCTCACAAACAGCATAAATAAACATCCACAGGACAAACCCGAGTTTGGAGCTTGTTAGGGCGCACGATTTCAACATGTTTGTTTGTTCAAATTTGCTAGTGCAGTGACCTAACTCTTTTATACGGAGCACATGTGGGGAAAAGGGCATAGGAAGGCGAACATTATAGAAGGGGAGGGGGGGGTGGAAAAATCCATATTTTTCCAATATGCAGACGGGGGCTGTTCATCAGGCAAAGTTTGACACATGTCTTTGAACAGTTAGAAACAACAACTTGTGGAAAGAAGTAAAAGGTTGGAGTCGGGTGGTTTGGCTAAACAAATGTCATTTTTGGACGCTGCTGCAGGGAGGACGGGGAAAAGGAAAGATGATGAAAAGAATGAAAAGATACATTCCTGAGAATCTCACTCGGCCTCGCTGTTTCCTGGGCTTGATTAGAGGGATGCAGGGACTTGCGGCTACATTTAGATTAAGATCTTGGTTGTCCAGAGGGAATTACAAAAAGGAAGCTATATGGGTGTCTTTATCAAATGTGACGTTGGTTTTTATAAAAAAGGAAGTCTCATTACGGCCTATGCTTATACTGTGCAGCCATGCAGCTACACAGTGCTGTTTGTGATGGAAACAAAGGCCGTTCTGTAATCATAGGGTCACAGGTTTGACCCTCACAGGGGCCCGTCCAAATTGCTCCTATGAATCATGTAATGTTTAACACTGTTTTACCTAGTTTGTAAAGGCAACATCTCACCTTAATTTAAACAGGCAACTTCGATAATACTCACAATGGCTGAAAAATATTAACTGCCAAGTTATTATATAATAACAATCATGTGGTTATTTAGGAAGAGGTTCAAATACAAATATGTGTCTCTAAAGACAGCCAAACAAAGTGAACAGGCAGTAACATGAAGACTTGTTACTGAGACACTCACTACGGGTTATGAGTTTAGACTCCATGGGGAAGATAAAAACTGAAGAATAAATTGTACTTAGTCCACATATTGCAACCTTCAAGCCAGAGTGCAACCAATAATCTTTACTGGCAAAACGAGTCACAACACCATATATATTGGCAAGAAATCTACAAGAGATTGTACAGTGCAATCAGAGAGATACAGTATGTCCACGTTTTTGAGCAAGTCCACGAATGCAGTCTTTGTCAAGTCTGTCACCACCTTTGCGCAGCTGCTGGCTCAGAGTATGCAGGTACTAAAATCACATCCACCAAGTTGTCCTCAAACTGTACACTTGGTGTTAACTGCACTACACATTATATTTCCATTTTGATAAGCACATCTATTCTGTATGCATGTCCCAGTAAGACATAAGAGCGCATCAGTAAGCCAGCATGCACAATACCAGGGTCCTGGAACCCAAGCAGCTAAATGGAATTGAGCCATTTTTTACATCAGTGGATTTTCTGTTACATGCCAAAATCTCACACAGCTTGCATTGGAATGTTTTAAATGATAGTTATTTTCACACTTTTTTTCATGAGGAATAAATTGAATAATAGAAAAAAGGGGATTTAACAAACATGTTTTGGTGAGTGATGTGGTTTTATGCAGTAAGATAGTATTACATTACCAACAACGTTGTATGAATACATGTTTTACACATGGCACTGGTAAAAAAAACATCTCTTAAAAAACAAATTATGATTCATTGAATCACTTTAAAAAAGAAAGAGAAAAATCGAAAAGTCTTATTCCTCGAACAGAAGGAATGGAACAATCTTAAATGAGATATTCCAAAACATGGTACACACACACGTTTTAAAATATGTCAGTATTTAGTTTTACTCACTTTCTAAAGGAAATTGTATGTTTTCATGGTTTTGGAATCCTGAATAAGATTTAGGCAATAACTGAATGATGAAATTGCATTGTAAAAATATTATAGCCTTGAATCTATTGAATATTGAAGCAGACATATGTTCAGCAAAATCTGAAAGGTGATTCACAGATGGCAGAAAGTCTTGTGTTTTTGATACATCCAGTATAATTTGCTGACTGGTGAAATCTGACAGGTCTTGCACCCTGTAACACAACCATAGAAGATGCTTTGTTTCTTTGTGAGACAGAAATGTTCGTGTCCTAAAGTGGTTCAAAGTGCAGTGAGACCACACTGTAAAGCTCCTTCTTAACTTCTGCTCTGCTTTGGACGCTTAAACTGCGGGGTGTCAGGTTTTGCGTCTGCTGCTTTCTTGGATGCTGATTTTTTTCTAGAGTCTTTTTCGTCTGGCTCGTAGAGGGCACTCCTGACGAAGCGTGCCGCAGCTCCCTTATCCAGACGGGCAGCTTTCTTCCTGTCTGTGATCTCTTTCACTTTGTTCATGTATGTCCTTATTCGCTCCTGGAGAACAGAGAGTTGTTACAGAGGAGTTAGACAATGCAAACAAATACAGAAATTATTAAAATGTCAAAGAGAGAACAGAGAATTTATACATACCAACTCCTGTTTGATTCCATGCTCTCTTGGATTAATTCCTTGTGTAACCAAGTACACTGTAAACAACAAGGCCCAATTATGTCAATGGAGAATACAGACACAAATACAAGCAAATACAAATTCAACGCTCAATTATATAACACATTTATGAATAAATCAGCATGTAAGGTTATCTCAGAAAAACAGAAAATAATATGCTTATTATAGTATAATATGTGCAGTCAATAAAAAACAGGCAATCTTTCCCATTTTTGTGTTATTAATACATAAATAACTGGTTTGGTAAAAACTCAATAACAGCAGGCAGAAAAAAAACGTACTCCAGAATAATGAATTAAGGGTGTAGGCAGACATCAGATCCAGCTTGGCTTGGTCCAAAGGGTCCAGCTGTCAATAAAACAAATGTAGTTTTGTCAGTCATTGTGTTAAATTCCTTCTGTCGCAAAAATGTCAATAGCACAGTAACTAACAAGCAAAACAAAACAATAATGTGCCCTATATTTATCCAAATCACAGACTGCTTGATACACCCAAGCATCATAGTTTAGGAGCTTAATGCATGTTTGGCATGTAAATCAAAGTACTGCACACGTGCAAAAGTCAAGAAAATAATATAGAATATACAAATTACAATAATAATGTAACTTATACATACTCTCTATAAGAAACGATAACATATATGTACAGTATAGCTGTAATAGATAGAATATAACTGTATTTTGGAATAAGAGAGCTGTACATTTCTGAGCATCAACCACATGTGTTTAGTTATATGTTTCAATATATCTGTCAAATAGGCTTTTCTCACATTTGACATGTTCACATGTTATAGAAGAGAACAAGTGTAGCAAATAACATAAATCATATTTGTTTCTTATTGGTGTGGTAACGTTGCCACTTATCCATGCCATCATTTTAAAAGCTGTGTATGCTTGCTTCATTCCTTAAAGCTTAACAAGTGTTGTGAAAAGTATTAACAGCCTAACTTTACCTTATGCATCAGGTCGTTCTTGGGCAACTTGTCCAACATGGTTTTGATAGCAGTAACTGAGGAGTCAAATCCTGTGAGCTGATCGTCTATCTCGTGAGGGTAGTCCTCCGTTTTGCCGTCCGCTGCCATGTTCCTGTAAAAATAATTATGATCCGACAATATTATGAAGCCCTGTTGTACCAAAAAGATCCCATTCAAATCTGTAGTGTTAGCTTTGTAGCTAGTAGATAGCTAACACATGCTGCTAAAAGGATCAGAGGCACACGTTTCAAAGAGCAGACATTGAGTGGCAACTGTGTATTATGTGTTAAACAACACTTGACAGTGGTTAAATGTAAAAACAAGTCCACTGGAAACAGAAGTTAACGGTAAAGTAAGCTATTTCTGTATTACCTTTTTTAGCACACACCACGCTTTGGCAGACCGGAAGTGACGTCAGTAAACAACACAGCCTGTCTTATTTTTCTTCTGTACTGCCGTCTGCCGTTTGGAGGAGGACATTATCCATTTATGACATTTTTAACTTAAACTGTAGTATTTTATAGATTGGTAACTGCTGTATCTGAGAAAAAACATATATTGTGCATCGACCACCGTTGTTTACCAGTTTATCCTCTAAGTTAGCTGTTAACTAATGCTCATTTTGACACATTTAAACATACTTTTTACACCAACGTTAACGCTTTAACAAAACAACATGTTGTGAGTTTTGTATAACTGTGTTTCTTCATCGGAGGAATTACGTATACAACATTCAGCTTAGCTTTAGCTAGTCTGAAGGCAGCAAAGGTGTTCACGTTACTATGGAAACTTGGCGTCAGTGTAGTAAATGAATCCTGGTGTCATGGGATGTCAGTTTTATGTGCGTTTAGGACTTGGACTGTTGTAGGTATACCTGAACACAAGTAAACCAGGTGTACAATTAAATGAAAAAAAGAGGCTTGAGACATGGACAACTGTGATTTGGAGAAGTTATCTGTGTCTGTTGGGAAGCTCCTTCCTGCTTTCACACCACAAGTCACAGACTACAGAGTGACGGTGGAGAGCAATGTGAACAAAGTGAGTCTGAAGCTGATCACCAGTGACTGTGGAGCTTCATACAATATTGTGAGTACTGTCCTGTCAATATGTTTTTATACTTATAATATTGTATGATTGAAAATACAATATAGTACCAATACATTACTGTAAAAATACTTAATTACAAGTAAAGAACCTACATTAAAAAAGTAAAAGTACAGGTGTTATCTGCAAAATGCAGCTTATTTAAAGTTTAAAAAGTAATAACTGTGCAGAAAAATTGCCATTATGTGTGTATATAATTATATTTATGTGACATTTCTAGATGATATTGTTGCATCAAGTAGCATTTTATTTTACGATAAAGTTCTGATTGACTTATTAGCTGGCTCTAATTTGACTCTTTTGTCACTTAAGAGTTAGTCCACTTGTTTAATTTATAAGAAGGGATAGGGTTAGGGTTAGTTATTTCATTATTTCTCTTTTAAATAGACGTATACAGTAGCATAATCACCTCAAAATTGTAATTAAGTGTAGTACTTGACTAAAAGTAACTTCCCACCTCTGAATATAACCAATTTTGTACAGCTTTGTGGAGATGGTTCCAGCACCATTAACCTGAATGATGGGTTAACCAGAGTGGACATCGAGGTGATAGCAGAGGATGGCACCGTTAAGAAATACTGTGTGGAAATCACCAAGCTGTCTGCAAAGATCGCAGCACTCAGTGATCTGGCTGTGGATGGAGATATTCCACGTAATCCTGCATTCTGTACCAAAATCTATGGATACAACAGTGAGTACAGCCTTCATGTGAAACTATGAAAAAGCCAGTTAAAGTACCAGAATGTTGGGACATTATTACATATTTTTATTAAGAAATACATATTATTTGCAACAAAAACATATTTGGAAAAAGTCAAACATGTACAGTAATAGCATGTACTGTATATGAATAATGATACAAAAATAATGAAATATAGTATTTGAGGTGTATATACATTATATTGTCTTTGTTATAAGTATCTGGTGGTAACATGTCCATATAAGATACCTTTGTATCTTGGTATTTTTTGTCTCTTTCGCCATCAACTTTAACCTCTTTTTCCTGCAGGTCTTGTTCCATTTCATTGTAACGCGGTGACCCTGCTTCCCAAGGTGCCGGACCGAAACATAAAAGTTGCAGTGAATCGGGGAGAGAGCTCACAGCCAGTCCCTCTGAATTATGGAGACTCTGTGGTGGAGATCTCAGTCCGTTCAGCAGATGGCAGCAATTCACAGGTACGAGACATAAGAGAGGAGGGCTGTGTGTTTCAGCACACTGACTTGTTGACATTATATTTAAAAAATGACGATCATCTTCATGGGTTCACCACCTCATCCTCACCTACAGTACAAAATGGTAACCTGTAGATTTTGGAGCACCACCCACACTGTTAGTTGCTCCATGTTCCGATATCACAGAATGTGAGAAGGCGTTCAAGAGGACAGTTTTCTGGGGTCATTTTAGGTTACATAATGATTACAACATTTTTAAGATTCAAGGCTTTATTGTCATGTGCACATTAGCTACAGTGTAGATATGGCAATGAAAAACTTAAGTCACAGGCTCCTCCAACAGTGCAACATGAATATATATAGGACATAAAACAGATAAAAATAGTGCTGTTTCCCTGTGTTGTTGTCCCTCAGGTGTACACACTGCTGGTGACTCGAGAGCTGATTCCCATGGCTGTGACCTTCACTGATGGGAAGCAGCAGCTGGACTACGAATGTCCAGTATCTCTGACTGCCTTTTATAGACCCATATCTATCAAGCACAGGTAAAACCTGAATAGAAAGACACTTAATAAGAGAAAATATTAGCAGTTCTAACTGCACCTACCCACTTCATCATATTGCTAAACCAAGTGTTTTAGAGTTAATGCAATAGTCAAATCATAATTATAAAAATAAATCAAGTAAAATAAATTGAACCAGTGATCACATCTCAGTTTGCCAATTGGAAAACACATTTGTAATTCCCTAATTTGAAACTTGTAATTGTTTAAGTTTGAATAATCATAGCCATTGTGCTTGATCATTTTCATATTTGTTATCATTTGAAATATAAACAAAAATAACTACATTTATATGCACATACTAATTTCTGTATTGGTTAAAGAAATGCAGCCAATGTTGGTTCTCCTGTTGATTTGCAGTGACCCAAAGCACATCTTCTCAAGGCCTTATATTGAGATGCTGGCACGCAGATCAAAAGTCGACCCACTTAGCGACAGTCCGCTGGGAGACGGCTGGAAGGTTGTTGAAATGGACCTCGACAAGAAGATGTCGGATGCTCTGGTCAAGTGCTTTTTTAATTACAGAGGTGAATATTGGAGTCTTAGATCCTTTAATAGATTTTTCCAAAGCAGAGCTGCTGTGGAGGCAAAGCTATTACTCAGTGGGTTAAAGGTCAGTGGAGTGAAGCATCAAACCACCATTATTCAGGCAAACAAATAAAATTGTATTGTAAAGAAGGAAGGTAACAGCTTGCCAACTTCCTACCTTGTATCATTCATCAAATAATAAAAAATGGTACGAAATTGACCTACAATCAGAATAACAGATTATTTGACTTAATTGAGATTTTAGATCAGTTTAATTATTTCTGTCTCCATAGCAGATTTACCTACAGACCTACTTCCGTAATGTGCCAGGCACGCTCTTGTCTTACCTTTTGACAGTCCTGATTACACTCCCTGAACTATCATGTAACATGCTGTCACTGTAGACAACTATTTAGTTACTGTAATGAGGCGGATACTATTACTTAACTAAGACCTTGTGATCTATCTGTTTCAGATCCAAGGCTGCATTTTGTATCAGGCCTCATTTGAGCTTTCCCCTGCCTAGTTAGTCACATGAGTGATTGGTCTCTGGACAACTAAGACCTCTTTCTAATTGACTTATTTGAGGTTCTGGATAATTACACAGTGCAGAAAATGCCACCATGACAACATCTAATAGACTACAGTAGTTAGACACATGTGTTATGACTCAATTTAAAAGACTAAAATGCTATCAGTAGCTCCTCTTATTCTGTACAAAAAAGAGGCAATCCTTGATAATAATAATAATAATAGCTTGGATTTATATAGCGCCTTTCATGAGACCCAAGGTCGCTTAAAGTTGATTAAAGAGTTAATTGAAGTGTTTTCTGTTACACTTTTCAGTAGTTTAGGTCAACACTATCCATTCTAGTGTGTGATACACATGGTTGGGAGGGTTACTTTAAGAATGTATTCCATTACAATGACTAGTTACCCTATGAAGAATATATATTTAGTTGGAAAAATGTGTCTTCTTAAATTGTAGTAAATGCCGACAGAATTGTATCATTTAAAATGCTGATAACACATTTCTTTATGTAACGGTATAGGAGTAAAAGATGTTTGTCTCCTGAAAACGTAATCCCATAACTTGTGATCTGTTACTCCCCAAGCCTGGTGACATATTGTGGCTCTGATGTGTTTTTCTAACAAAGGATGTATCAGTGAGATGAAGCTGAGTGAGCTGGGGTCACACTCCCTGGACTGTCCACACAGGCCCACAGGGGAGCTGGATGCAAAGGTCAGAGTGAAAGATTAAACATCGCTCTGCAGAGCCAGAATCACTGCCATCGACCTCTGCTCATCCTTTATTTACCAGTCAGCGCTCACTTCACAGTGACTAAGTGCTGGTTTGAGTTCCACAGTAAAAGTATCTCATGTGTTTGTGTGCAGTGCATGTGAGGATATGATGCAGAGGTGTGCCAGTCTTTTCACATTTCAGTATGTTGTTATTCAACCTTGAATAGGAATGCCAAGCTCTTTATATTAAATAGTTTGCTGGATCAGTTTTTATCTAAAATCTGGTTTACACATCTCTCATTTTCAGGATGTCACAGAGACTGATTGGTACAAGAAGCATTTTGCATCATCCAGTTGTTTGGAGATCGACACTATACACACTTTGGAGGTAATAAATGTATTTTACTATGCTCACCATTTAATTAGATTTCTAAAGGGCTATTTCCCTTAATGTTTATTCATTCTTGTTTGTTAAACCTTATATTTTACAAGTTTTGCCATTTTGAAGAGTAGAGATCAAATTGAGGGCCGTGTGCAGACTCAAAGTTCCTGTAATTATTTTTTGGTTCATGATTTTTGTTAGTGATTATGATATTGTTACATTGACACATCCACAGTTCTATTGGTAAATAAAAGTTGATGAACTATGATTTCAGTTATGAATAATTTGTCTTTAGTTCCTTTGTCTTTTTTAGACAAAGGAACTATGTCTAAACATAGTTCCTTTTAAAAGCCACAATCCTTATATACAGGGTGTCCGCGGGGTCTTAAAAAGTATTAAAAGTTGATAAATCAATTTAGCGAAAATGAAGGCTATTAAAAAGTATTAAATGGCATTTTCCAAGGTATTACATTTTGTAGCTTGTTTTCAATAAGTATATAAATTGTCCAAAGAGGTTGTATTCTACAGTGTGCCTGAATGTAATCATTGCGTAGGTGTGTAGTGTGATTCTGTGTAGTTTATTTATGGCATCCCGTTGGATTTGACGTCATCTGAACAGGACATCGCACGCTCACAGCTTGATAGCGCGCGAAGGTCCGTTTACGCCGGTTGTTAAACAACATCGTTATGGGGAAATGCAAGTCTGCGTCCAAATGGTTGGAAGATAAGGAGGAAGGACAATCAATACTGTATATAGTAAATGTGAGGTAAAGTGTGTCGCCAATGCAACCGGTTAAAACTCAAAGTGGCGATGAGGTCTTAAAATGTATGGAAAGGGTCTTAAAAAAGGTCTTAAAAGGTATTACATTTGACTTCAGGATTCCTGCATATACCCTGTATATAACTCACAAATAGATGATGGATGAACAGATGATTGTATTCTGTGTACTGCAGGTGCGTAACTGGGAGAAAAGACTACAAATTACAGAAGGAGAAGACAGTGTGGAGGAACTGTGTGCCTCGGCCCAGGATCACCTGAAACTCTACCGCCAACGCCTGCCTAAACCCGGTATGAACTGAAGCACTTTCCAAACCAAGAGTTAAGGATCAGAAATGAAAGGGAAGACAAGTGATCTACCAAAGTCTGTTTAAGCAACGAGTATCAATTACAGTGAGGGCTTAAGTCGCCCAAGCAACGGCCAGTTTGCCCTCTTTGGCAAATAAGCAGTTGCTACAACAAAAAGTACAGGTAACCCATATACCAAATGAATTTACCCTACCATCCAAACCTTTAATACTATTTAAAATAGAAAAAGCAATGCCAATGTTATTTGTTAAACACTTGACAGAGTATTTTCTTTTTACGTTTGTTGGATTAAAATGCTTGATTGAAGCCTAAAAAAATCCTCCACCTAAAATCTGATACGTATCCAGATACAAATAGTTATATGCCTGTACATTTTTTTAATTTAATCACAAGTATATACAACTTATCTGTATATATCTTACTCCATACCATATCTGCACTAAAACCCACTCTTGATGTACTTTGAACTTATCGTTTTTTCTAAATGACAAACCCTTCAACAGAGAGTTTCTGTTATATCATTTCCCTTGCCACTCCTTGGCACAGCTCAGCCATTAAAAAAACATTGAAATGAGTTGGCAGTTGAAGCTTCCTCCTCTTTCTAGCGTGCCAGTTACTCATGTTACTGCTCGTCTTTTCTCAGCTACTTGTACCGCGCTAATTGTTTGATGACTCTGAGAAGAGACATTCGAGACAGATCCCAGAGGACTGAATGAAAGTCATTGGACCCGAACAGAGACATAACACCAGAGGGAGAGAGAGAGAGAGTTGGAATGATAAAGGAAGCAATAGAAACAGCTAATCTTCACCTCTTAACAAATATAAAAGTGTTTTCTGTTGTACGAGATCAGGCTCAATCTGACCTCAAAACACAAAGATCATGTTGTATCAATTATGTAGAATTGTATCAAGGCTGAGGGACCCTTCAATAATTTATTTTTAATATTAAGAGACTATATACTATAATATGTAACATTTCAACATTAGCTGCATGCTATCCTATATGTGCATGGCCCACAGAACATTTACTTTAGTGGACTTTTTAAAAATCTGATTATATATATTGGTTAATATTGTATTATTTGCATCAGCGGCAGATTGGGTTTGATGGATATGTTTTGTAATATTCTCTGGTAATATAAAAACTGTGACATCAGTGCAGTGTGACAGATAAGAGATCATGCCAAGGGAAGCTGCACTCTCTGAATATTTCATGCAAAGGACGCATGCAATCATTCTTAAGGGAAATAGAGAAGGCGGCCAAACGGGAGATCCTTTTATTACTCATTATCCGGTGTACTGTGAAGTGTTTGTGTTCCAACATTAGTGGAAGAGTTTCATTTCAGAATGAGACTGTAAGACTTATCTTCCACAACATCAGTCATTTGGCATCTGTAACTTAATTGAGTTAGTCATATTTTTCTTTATTATTTTTGTATTCAATCTTTGTGTCTTAAAGGTGGGGTAGGTAATTTTGGAGAAACCAGCTCGAGTGCGGTAGAATTTGAAAATGCACTGCCGGAAAAAATCTGCCACTTCCTTACAGAGCCCCTCCTCCAACACACACAAACGCACACATGACCAATGAGGGCACGAGATAAGTTTGTGCACAGATGGAAGGCTGACAGGCAGGTAGGCCATCCAGTTATTTTAGCCGGGCCGGCTCAGATGATTGGTTGTGCTTTTTACAGCGCCACAGCTTCCACAGATGACATTTTTTTATGGATTTTTTGTCAAAGCACTTAAGATATTCATTGCTATCGGGATGTTAAGAGCATTCCATGGAATATAACAAAAAGTGTATCTCGAGCCGGTTTCTCAAACGTACCTACCCCACCTTTAAAGGTAGGGTAGGTAAGAATGGAGAAACCAGCTCGAGTGCGCTAGAATTTGAAAGTACGCAACCGAAAAAAATCTGCCCCTTCCTTCAGACTTTGTTACAGAGCCCCTCCTCCAACACACACAAACGCACACATGACCAATGAGGGCACGAGATAAGTGTGTGCACAAGATGGAAGGCTGACAGGCAGGTAGGCCATCCAGTTATTTTAGCCGGGCCGGCTCAGATGATTGGTCGTGCTTTTTACAGCGCCACGGCTTCCACAGATGATATTTTTTACATCTATTTATTGTCAAAGCATTTAATGTATTCATTGCTATCGGGATGTTAAGAGCATTCCATGGAATATAACAAAAAGTGTTTCTGAAGTGAATTACCTACCCCACCTTTAAGTTACTCTTATCCTTTTGTAGCACATAGTAGCACAGTATCAAGATTTGAAACAGTTATACTGTAAAATGAATACACTTAGAAAACACTCAATAAGTAGTTTGTTGCCAGCTTCTTAGTCGGTGTGTTTTTGAGCAAAACCTCCCCTTACGCTCTCCACAGTGTTTCACAGTGGTTTCACAATCACCATTAATACGTGTTGTAACAGTTATACAAAACATTATGGCTCTTGATTTTTACGTATACATTTAATTAATTACAGGCATGATAACTATATAAAAGGTTTTAATCATTTAAAGTATACTGAAACCTTTACTGTAATACACAGCAGGTAATACTGTTACTGTGAAATGATATTTTTCAGGTCTGTATTAATGCAAATGATCTCACAAATAGATGCAAATACTTATGGGCCCTTTTGTCTGATGTGTGCATATACTACAGTGTTTGTTCCTGATATTTCAACAGGGGATGTGTTGCAGTATGAGGATGGACAGTCTCCTCTGTACAGCCTGGAGCAGGCGGCTGTCCTCCATGCATCAGCCATCAGACTCAGCTCCAGAGAGGCCAGACTCCACTTCCTGCTGGGCCTCTCTCTGGAGGAGCAGCACTATGCCACCGAGATGTACGGCCTCCGCAGGAAGGTAGTTCTAGGCAAAAATAAGTGATGAAATGTGAGCTTTTAATAACTAGATGTACCAACACAAGAGGACATTTTGTAAATTACAATTCTCCTTTAGCACTGACACTGGTACACACATTCACACAGGGCATTTGCTCAAGAACAAGTTTCCCCTAAAGGTGGCCTTCAAGCACCCTGCAATGTTTTGTTATGTACTTAGCTCAAGGGCATTCCCACATTTTTCCAGTTACTCTTTGCTGTGTACCACCATGAAAGGGATCATGTGGCGCAGTGGGTTGTGCATTGGTGTTCGGATCAGGGGGTCACAGGTTCAAACCCCACTGCAGTCAGCATGTCGTTGTGTCCCTGGGCAAGACACTTCACCCCAAATTGCTCCTGTGGTGATTATCCACAGTATTGAGTATATAAGTCACTTTGGATAAAAGCGTCTAACAAGTAACATGTAATGAAATGTCCTGAAAAAACCCATTAAAATGTATAAATGTGACGCATGTGGAGGTTAAGGAATTTATAAAGTATGAAAAAGTTTTAAAGAAATACTTGAATAGTTTATTTTGAAAGTTTATAACTAATCATATTATAGGTGAAAATGTTTCTCCTATTTGAGAACATCCAAAATCAGCCCACCTCTCACCTTTGAATCCATTCTTCTCCAGGCTGAAAGAGGCAGAGATGAACTGAGCGATGCCAAGTCGACGGCCCGTCAGGACGACATCCTGGCGGTGTGTAAGCTCCATGGATTCCTCGGCAGGCCCACGGTGGAGAACCAGCTGCAGGCCCTGGATAAAGAGTATCAGCAGCTCAGAGACCAGGGCCAGTCTGGCAGAGCAGACTACGTTCAGACGCTCTATATCTGGCTCTCTAAGAAATCTGGCAAGGTAACTGTGTCATAAGCAGTTTACTTCACTTGCTGTATGACTTACAACATGACTGACTTGATAGGATGAGCAGCCATGTTAACCTTTTTATTATTTGCTTATCCTGTTCAGGGTCTAAGGTAGATTTACAGTCGCTGTTTACAGAGTAATACAGTAATAATAATCTACTTCTCTGACATCATGGTATACAGCCAATACTATTTAGTCACTTTCAGAATCAGAATCAGAATACCTTTATTAGTCCCACAGAAGGGAAATGTACAGTGTTACAGCAGAAAAGAGCAAAAGACAGCTTAATGTTACCTAAGAAGCATGCATACACAATTTATTAAAGATAAGAAAATACACATTTGTATCATCTTACTTTTGTTTTTTAAAGCGTATAATGGGATTTCCTTTTGGTAGATTAAGAAAAGTATCCTCTTTCATTATTACAGACCAGAAGCAAGCAATACGGAATTGATTCTGGCGTTATGCATTTGTATGTATGTTTTGTAGTGATACAGACTGAAATAACACATACTTATTCATCTATAAATCTGGTTAGATAAAGGCACCCAGATGAAGTTGATCTATATATTCTTTGCCGAATGATTTAAAGGGCTGTAAGAAAATGTGTATGTTTAAGAAAATGTATAAAGAAAGCGTAATTAGACAGCATGAAGTTGACTTTTGATTGTGTTCTGGTTTTATGTTTCAGTATTTGTAAGCAACTGTGAGGGGCAGGCAAAATAAGATTTTCTTGTCCCTGCTCCTTTCCACCATGCGCTATAAAAAAAAGTGTACATGTTTTGTTTTAAAATAACTGCCATGTGTGGAATAAACAAATAAATAAATAATTCTCTCTCCCCTCTTGTTGCAGGACAGCAGTGCAGCGGTGCGGGATGAAGGGAGTGGTCTGCACCGCGCCCTGATGAAGTACCTGGACGCCTGGTCTCTGAGTCCTGACAGCTGGGAGTTCAGCCTCCACACAGGGAGGCTGCTGCTGCTGCAGGGGAGGGGGGGCGAGGCCCTGCAGCACCTCCAGAGCGGCCTGGCCCTGCGCCCGCTGCACCCTGCTCTCAGGTCAGGACATACAGGAAGCACAACATCGTATTTACCTGACATGTTTATTCAAAGCAACTTACATAAACTTCAATACCGTTGACGGTGATAAGAGTAACACAGATTAAGTGATCATCATTCATGTATTTCAACTCCTAAAAGCAACCCTTTGTTCAAACTGGAGCTTGGGTATTGACTTGTTGCTTTAGCTGGAATTAAGTATAAAGAGGTGAATGCATGCAGATCCTTTCCTTTCACTGTTACACAAGAGCAGCTTTGACTAACCTGTCAACCTGCTTTACAAATGATCATACAGATGGTTGAGTAAGAAAAACAGAAGTAGTGTAGTCACACGTGTGAGACGAAGCCCCACAGTTCAACAGGGTCCTGCCTAATGTTCAACAGTTAGTTTTATTTTCAACATTTGTTTTGTGTTGCCTTCTGTTCTCAGATTCTTCACCGGGCTGGCTCTGCTGCACCAGGAGCAGAAAGCCTCTGAGGACACAGAGAAGGAGGCTGCTCTGCTCTTACACCAGGGACTGGAGCACTTTGTCCGACAGCGCTGCAGCAAGAGGTTTGCATTATTTTGTGTGTGGTTTGGAGGGAGATAGTGTGAGGGCAGGACAGTTATAGTAATGTGAACAAGGATGCTGGACATCATCATAATAACCCACTATCGTTGTCAGTTACTGGAACCAGAAAGTCATACCTGTGCAAAACACAATTAAATGTTATGTGTAGAAAGTTTGGGTGGCTAGTTAGTATTTTGAAAATGTGCCGGTTAATTTGGATAAACCACCAAGTATCTTCTGCTGTCGTATTTTATTTTATGTTGTAAGGTTGTCTTGGTCATCATGGTTGTTTTTCATGCCTAATGTTCTGTCTACAGCAGGGTGGAGCAGGACCCATCGGACCCTCTCTCTAGCCGCAGCACTCAGTTCCTGCGAGGCCTTCTCACTCTGGGTCAGCTGCAGCAGAAACACACTCTGTCTTTGCAGGCCATGAGCGCGGAGCAGGTCTATCACATGTATGTTACAAATCAGAAGTTTCCTAAAGTAAAACATTGCCCAATATTGGCTTTTTACCCAGTGCTTGTGGTGGATCTCAGCTCATATTAGAGCATGTGATTCAAGGGAAAACTCCCATCGTTTACATCTGTTTAAAACGTGTTTAAGCACTGAATGAAATCCCTGTCTCTGTGCTGGAATGCCTCTCAGTGTAGCAGTGCTGTCTGCCCAGAGTGTGAGTCAGTGTGTGTGTCGTGGCGAGGCGGTGGTGCAGCTGGAGTGGGTGCTGCTGGATGCTCATTTCGCCCTGCTGCAGAGGCTGATCCAGGATCAGGCTGGCATGGAGAGGCAGTCCCTGGTGGCCAAGAGATGCCAGGCCCTCACTGCACTCATACGCCTCGCCTCCATCGCCCCCTGTCAGGAGCTGCTGGACATGCAGGAGAGGGTAAGCTAGGCGAGCAAACGTATTTTATTCGTCTGTTTTAGTTTATGAAGTTGACACATCCTCAGAAATCTGTCAGTGTTTTGAGTTACGATGCGTTCATTCACTATAGTTGGTCCACTGCCTTTGACTATAACAACTATACCACTACTTATGTGCAATAAACACTTCATTTATATGGCATTACTTGTTTCTTCAATACTTTTATATGTTCACTTACTTTGTATAATGCTGCTATTACTATTTTTTACCAAGGACCTTTGCAGTTGTGACCCTATACTGTATGTCCCGCTGTAGGATGAATAAAAGATTTCTGATTCATAATAATTGACTTTGTTTCCAGTACCGAATATGGCAGATAAATAAAAACTCTTCTGCTAACCTCCATGGCTCTGTGCACAGGTATGTCAGCTGGCAGTGTTGACGACCCCGAGGGACAGCCCCGCCCTCTGTCTCCTGGGCCGGGCACAGCTGGCTCAATACGACAACAACCCAAATTCAGAAAGGTCAAAGGAAGCCTTACGTGACGCCTGCCTCAGCTTCCAGGCCAGCATTGAGCTGGAACACAAGACGCTGAGCGGAGAGCCACTGGAGCAGCTGACCAGTGAGTCTACATGGTCTCAGTCTAGCAGATACATATACTAATAATAATAATACATTTCATTTTTATAGCGCTTTTCCTGGTGCTCAAAGACGCTTAAAATATGTAAAGATGCACCTAACCTTACGTTAATGGAAAATGAAATGCTGGGCCCTTATGACAAAACAGACTACAAATGATCAAAAAGTTGAGAGGAGACAAGGAGACAAGGGGAGACAAAAGGAGATGGGGGAGTTGAGAGGAAACTGGGAAACAAGGGGAGATTATAGGAGACAAGGGGAGATGGGGGAGTTGAGAGGAAACAAGGAGACAAGGGGAGATTATAGGGGAGATGGGGGAGTTGAGAGGAAACAAGGAGACATTATAGGAGACAAGGGGAGATGGGGGAGTTGAGAGGAAACAAGGGGAGATGGGGGAGTCAAGAGGAGACTGGGGGAGTTGAGAGGAAACAAGGAGAGACTATCGGAGACAAAAGAAGATGGGGGAGTTGAGAGGAAACAAGGAGACAAGGGGAGATGGGGGAGTTGAGAGGAAACAAGGAGAGATTATAGGAGACAAAGGGAGATGGGGGAGTTGAGAGGAAACAAGGAGAGATTATAGGGAACAAAAGGAGATGGGGGTGTTGAGAGGAAACAAGGAGACAAGGGGAGATGGGGGGGGAGTTGAGAGGAAACAAGGAGACTGGGGGAGTTGAGAGGAAACAAGGAGAGATGATAGGAGACAAAAGGAGATGGGGGGGAGTTGAGAGGAAACAAGGAGACTGGGGGAGTTGAGAGGAAACAAGGAGAGATTATAGGAGATTAACTGCTGCGCAATAAACACTTTAAATTAAAGTTATGAAATCCTTTTGCCACATCCTCCTCTCCCATATTAACCGAGCCTGTTTGTTCAGAACAAAAGTGGTGGCAGGAGCGGCAGGAAGCTGCGAAGCCCTCGATCAGCCAACCAGGGGGGGTGAAGGGACCCTCTGACACCGGGGGGGCCAGGAGAGGAGCAAAGCAGAGCAGGGGGGGGCCCGGTCAGAGGCGGGGGGCAGGAGCTGGGACCAAAGCTCCTGCCCCCCCCGGCCCCCCCAGCCCCCATCAGGGGAGGGAGAGCCGCCCAGCCTGCAGCCAGAGCCCCTGCAGCCAGGTGAGGCTCGCTAGCAGGGTTTCACTGACCTTTAATGTGGCTGTCTGCAGATGTTTGTTAGCATTTAGAACCAAAGAACGAACAAAAGAACATCCATAACATTCATCTGTTTGCAACTTATATATATATATCAATATTCCAATTACTCTGCACTATTTTTATTCTATTTTATTTTATTTACTTGCACTATTATCTGTGTTATTGTGTTGCACTGTTGGAGGAGCCTGTGACCTAAGCTTTTCATTGTCATAACTACACTGTAGCTGCTGCACACGTGACAATAAAAGCCTTGAATCTTGAATTTAGGAATGTGGCTATATATGTATTTTCTCACACTTCTTATTCATGTCAACCACAATCTTTTACTTTTTGTCAGATTGGGAAGTGTCACTGGATTTTCTGTGTGTTATATATACACAAAAAAGTAAAACAAATCCTGACCACATGGCATCAACATTAAGAGAAATGTGTTACTTTGAATACAATACGTCATGTATGAACACAAAGTAAATGTATGGTGTGTCTTTCATTTTGAAATCCACTTCAAAGCTGATGTATTTGACTGTCCCTCCTGTAGGGGGAGAGCTGGAGCAGCAGCCAAGCCAGACAGATCAGCTAAACCCTCCACCAGCATCACTAAACCTCAGCTCCCCACCAGCAGCTCTCAGCAGGAAGGTCAATCAAATAGTGTTAAAGCAGCAGAGGGTAAGGCATGACAAATATATTAAGAGTGACATCCATACACATGTGAAAGCCTTCTTCTCCAAAGTATATTACAAGTGTATATATAGTTACATATGGTACAAATTAAGAAATACTCCAGTTGTTATTGGAACAACAATTGAATTATTGTAAAACCTCATACCTGGGATATGAAATCAGCAACATCAGTATCAGACGTCTTTCAGCATCTTTTTCCTGCTGAGTTTGTTAAAAGAGTTATATTTCCTGAGTTTGTCAAAAGAGTTATATTTTCTGAGTTTGTCAAAAGAGTTATATTTCCTGTGTGTTCAGAGCCTGCTGTGGACGACACAGTGATCGCGTCCGGTCCGATGAACCGCAGCTCTCATGTCTCGCGGCTGGGTTTAGCCCGCGCTCTGACCCGCTCTGCAGACACACAGGAACGGGCCAGGCAGCTCTACCAGGAGGTCATCGCCATGGCACCAGGGGTCAGTTTGGTTCTGCTACATTTATATTATCTGTTCTTATTTGTTCTATGTCCTATATATATGTTGCACTGTTGGAGGAGCCTGTGACCTACGATTTTCATTGCCATATCTACACTGTAGCTAATGTGCAAATGACAATAAAACCTTGAGTTATTATGCTCCAAATATCTGGAACAAACTCCCAGAAACCTGCAGGTTCGCTGCAACTCTGACTACTTTAAAATCCAGGCTGAAGACTTTGCTTTTTGCCGCTGCTTTTAATTGAACTATTCATATCTTGCACTACATTCATGTATTTTGTCTTTTAATGTTTATTTTATTATCTTTGCTTTTAAATGCCATTTTCTTAATGTCTTTCATTTTTGTAAAGCACTTTGAATTGCCTTGTGTTGAAAGGTGCTATATAAATAAACTTGCCTTGCCTTGAAACTTGAAATATTTTGTTTGCATGCATGTTTGTAGCACGTACAGTTCTGTTATTTTCTTTTACCTCAATTGATGTTATTCAAGTAAGACGTAATTCATGAATCCACTTTTCTGTGTAGGTCCATGATGCCTACATTGAGCTGGTGCAGCTGCTGGAGGAGTGCGACCCTCAGGCTGCGGTGGAGGTGTACTGCAGGTTCCCTCTGAAGCCTGTAGCAGAGCAGAGCTTCGAGGACGCCTTCATCACAGGAGAGATCGTCCGCTTGCTGATGGCGCTGGAGCTGTACGACCACCTGCTGCTGGGCCCCAGCCTGGTGGCGTACGGCAAAGTCATGGGCCTAAGTAATCTCCTTTACCATTATGAAAATCTTATTGTTAGAACCAGTCAAAAATAATCATAGTAGTGAAGTGAATGCAAACAGATAGTTACTTTAAAGCTCACCTATTATGCAAAATCCACTTGTTCATGTCTTTTATACATCAACATGTGTCCCCTCTGTGTAAAGAGATTCTGAAAGTTTCAGGAAAAAAGATTCGCTCACTTTTTGTCCTGATCCATTTATATAATAACCTGTGTGAAAATGAGCTGATCAGATTTTGGCCACTTTATGATGTCATAACGATTTTTTGGCTTGTGTAACCATTAGCCAATCAGCAACCAAGGTATTATAGCAGCTATCGGATGGAATCAATACATGGGCTGCACAGGTTGTCATGTCCGACTATCACAAGTAGAATCATAATGAAAAATACGCCGGTAAAAAGTGCCTGTAGAAAACGGCTTAGCAAGTAGTCAGTTTAGCTTCGGTTGCTATGCTAACATCACCCATGTTATACCAGAGAAACTTTCATAACAGCGTTGTGATGCCAAACAGCGTCAATTCAGACTGACACACATTCACTTAAGGGGAACTGGGGATATGTGGACGCAGTCCCCCGTTGTTGTTGTTGTGAGCGCCGTTGGGGAGCAAATCAGCGATGTAAACGGTGACGTCATGAGGCAGCAGCGGCAGCACCATCCCGGCTCTGAGTGGTGTGAACAAAGCGGGAGCAGAAAAGGGAAACCGGAGCTGAACCAGAAAAGCTCTAGCTCGGAGCTAGAAAGGGAAAAGCGCTGGTGTGAAAGCCGCACTAGAGCACCATTGTGTTCTTTTTAACCAAATATCTCTCAGAGGGGTGTGGGGAGGGGCTCCTTATTTTCATCTAAAGTAACAGACAGAGAATCAGCACTTTTGAAACAGGGCTGAAACAGAGGGGATTATGGGATGCTGCAATGATCTGTTTGGTATTTCAGCCAATCAGAGACAGGTTCTGTATATATCTGAGACCTGTAATATATTGATGAAAAACAGTATAATAGGGGACCTTTAAAGGGCTGTTTACTTTGAATAAATACACTTTTAAATTATAATCTGTCATGACATGCAGCATCATGTCAGATAGTAACTGACTATGCATAATGCAAATCAGGTTAGTGATTATTTTAGTATGTTAACATATATAAAGAATTTAAATATGAATTTGGTTATGTGTGTTTGTAGGTTGCCTAGAGAAATACATTGACATCTTGGATGATAAGTCCATGACCAAGCTGCTGATGAGTGTGTACGCCAAGATCAACGACCGACCGGAGGACGATCAGGAAATGCTGGACTTCTTCAAGTTCAAATGCTGGATATGATGATGCTTATAACACTGTAACAGATACCTGTATTTATCTGTTTGCTTCCTGAAGTGACCTACATACAACTGATGTTATTAATAAACGGTTCTTATTAGACAGAGGATACTGAGAAATGTTTTATCCTTTTCTGTTTATTTTGAAAACTCAGAGTTCTCCACAAAAAGAGCAAAGACTTAAATAGACAAAACAGGAGAAAACTTTTGCCAATAGTGCAACAAAATAACGGGGATTTCAGTGAGCATACTACAAAAATGGAAACAAAAATGAAAGCTTGATATCCAAATTCTTTCAAATCAAACCTATATTACCTATAGGCTTTTAATAACAGGGTCATTCCTAGCATTCGGTGCCATTTAGGTCCCCAACACATTATATCATATATTTTGAATTTAAAAGGTCTAATGCTTATTTTTTAAAAGCTTGGTTTTAAATGTTTATCCTCCTCTACCATAAAACAATAATGTTATTTACCCAGGATATTCAAAATTCTAAATAATTACTCTGATTTTAGCACAAGTAGGCCAAATTGCTGTGTCCCAAATCATGTTTGCTCAACTTCTGTAACAGATATAAAAAAAGAAATCAAAGAAATACAAACTGTTGCATAACCCTTTTGCTAATATTCCTCACCAAATTTGTTGTCAATACATTTTTTAAACCCCCCTACTCTGATTTGAATCCCTCTGGACACGCCCCTTTACTATTCTACTATTTGTATGACTCAAGGATACATTTTGAGTGGGAAAATCATCTTCAAGAAGCAGAGTGTATGCATTCTTCCTTCAACATTTTTCTAACGTTTTTTAAAGAACTTAACTGTTGCGGTAAAGCATAAATGTTATGCTCATTTTTAGTGGAAACTGATAATTTGTTTTACATTTAGAAAATATGGCAAATATATCTATCAAATATATGTTTCTGTTGTCACCAAGTGCTAGCTTGATTATCATCACACATGTAGCAATAGCCAAGTTTCGCATAAAATGTCCACCCTGTTACTATTTTTCACAGTAACAGGGTGGACACACAGTAACTGGGGATGTTACAAAAAAAAACGTTTAAAGCATAATATCCTGAGCTTGACCAAAATATGTTTCTTATACTTTAACAAGCCATCATTCAGATTAAATAAAAAAAACATGGAAAATTATGTTTTTTATTTTGGATTAACCTAGCTGAAATGGCACCGAATGCTAGGAATGACTCAACAAGGAAAGCAAAGCACTGCACATTTCTTTAGGGGATAGCATGAGACAGAGCAGCTGAACACAAACCAAGAAGTTAATTTGACTTAAATAGTTTTATGACAAGATGATTGTTAATTGTACAACATTGAGATTTACAGCTGACAGAACTCCCAGTAGAAAAAAAAAACCATTCATCCTCACAAACAGGCAGAGATGTATTGTAAAAGTATCTCTGCAGTTGTGTCTCATTTTGCATCCGGCTGCACAGATCTTCCCCTTCAGTCTCTGGTCTACTTCTTTTTACACCTGGCTGAGTTTGGTGACGATGAGCACGCGCACAGTCTGGTCGAAGCCGGAGCACACACACAGGCCCTTCTTGTCGGGGCTCCAGTCCAGGCTGGCGATTGGCTGCGTGGACAGCGTGGCGTTCTGTAACAGCGTGACGGAGCCAGCTACGCCCACGGCCAAGTCGTCTGAGTCTGTCTTGCTTCTCTGAGAGGGATACTCACTGGAAAAAACAAACATTTGATGGATTAGCTTATTTCATTTCATTTGTATTTGTCATGGTATGCACAACTTAATGTATAACAATTATTTACAAAACATGTCTCTATAAACACACCATAACCGGAAAGGAGCAGGGAGAAGAAAATAATCTTATATGACCTGCACCTTTCTAAAAAAAAACATGTTCTTATTCACAGCCAATCATAACAGTATCGTAGGAAAAGGAGAGAAACACAAAAACGTACAAACAAAAACACTTGGTTCCCACTTGACAGTTAACGGACAGAAACAAAACAAAAAAACACCAAGACATCACTTATAGTAAAGCATGGAAATTGTTTCTCATAAATAAAACAATCATGACGAGTCCTTTAAATTAGATATATTATAATAGTTAATGCTGGGTTACTTACTATTTCCAAAGATGTAGGTTGCCTGCCCCCCCGGTAGTCATGAAGATGTCTCTGTTTTGAGGCAAGTGCTTCACCTGCCAGATGGTCGACTTGTGAGCCTAAAACGAACAACAGGTATCATTTACTTCCCGAAACAATTCATTTAGTAAGGGCAACATTAATTCCCAGCCCCTTTCAAGGCCAATGCTTTTTTTAGAACAGCTGTAAATCACTTTAATCAGCTGAGGTTTAAATAATGTTGCATCGCTGACGTGTCATTCTGCCCAAAGTGTTTCCACTTTTCTTTCCGTATTGTCTTAAATTCTAAAGACTGTTTTTGACACAGTAGTTTTCATCCCTACTATAGTCTCTGCTATCAGGCCTCTTTCCTTTAACCACACTTTTCAACTGTCAACTGGCCAAACTGCTTTAAGATACGCGGAACAGTTATAATTAGTTATTTGACATCACTGAGTCTGGTTTCAACGTTCAATGTGGTTATTAATCACATAACTATGATGCCATGGAAAAGAGACAATAATAAAACAACTATATCCTACTTTAACTCAAACTTATAGCATACATCAGGGTATATGCAGGAATCCTGAAGTCAGATGTAATACCTTTTAAGACCTTTTTAAAGGCCCTTTCCATACATTTTAAGACCTCATCGCCACTTGGAGTTTTAACCGGTTACATTGGCGACACACTTTACCTCACATTTACTATATACAGTATTGATTGTCCTTCCTCCTTATCTTCCAACCATTTGGACGCAAACTTGCATTTCCCCATAACGATGTTGTTTAACAACCGGCGTAAACGGAGCATCGCACGCTATCAAGCAGTGAGCGTGCGATGTCCTGTTCAGATGACGTCAAACCCAACGGGATGCCATAAATAAACTACACAGAATCACACTACACACCTACGCAATGATTACATTCAGGCAGACTGTAGAATACAACCTCTTTGGACAATTTATATACTTATTGAAAACAAGCTACAAAATGTAATACCTTGGGAAATGCCGTTTAATACTTTTTAATAGCCTTCATTTTCGCTAAATTGATTTATCAACTTTTAATCATTTTTAAGACCCCGCGGACACCCTGTAATAATAAAACAACTATATCCTACTTTAACTCAAACTTATAGCATACATACCAGCTTCAGAATCCACTTGCCAGTTTATTCTACTGTTTTAAGGTGTTTCGCATAATGATAGAAACAATATCAGAGCTTTGTGTGACTGTAGACTAGAGCTACGCAGATATCTTTTTTTAGATCAAAATATCTGGTGGATGTATAGACTGTATATATAAAGGGTGGATGCTAATGACTCATGGTATTAATGTGCAGACTGCTGATCGCTTAAAAAAAAAACGGGACAAATATTTATAAAGCTGAGGCCTCTGATCTCTCAGACCTAGCAAACACTTGGCTGGGCTGTGAACTAATCCCAGTTTAAGTGTGTTTTTCTAACATTTTCTAACAAAAAGCCCCACTTCTCTCTGCTGACCGGCCCGGTGTCATTTTTGGCCGGTGTCACAAAGCCCCAGAGAATATTAGACAAACACAACCCCAAACACTTTCAGCTGTGAAAACGGCCAAAACGATTTTCCCCTCTGTACCACACAAATGTAAAAATAATAATAATTATAATAACCATTTGACATTTTTCCCATTCGGGTGAGCCAAACATCCGTCTGCGCCCGGGTCAATTACCTTTTCTGAGACGGAGCTGAAGCCCTTGGTGGGGTGTTGGGTCCTCATGTCAAAGACGTGGAATTTTCCCTCCAGTGACGTGGCAACCAGTTTATTCATGTTGATGTCTTTCCTGTCAAACTCCACGCAGCATACCTGGCCATGATGTAAGAAAACACAACAGTCACTCGCTGGACATTCACCAAAAACTATTATCCTTACAACAGAATGTGTGTTGAAATGGACGTAAAAAAAACCTGGTGAGTTCATGGAGGTGATGAATGAGAGAAGGCTTTCTGTCCCCAGAGTAAAAGCTAACATGGTGAAGCAGTGTTCAGTTATTATGCTCCATATATCTGGGAAAAACTCTCCAAATACTGCAGGTCCGCTTCATCTCTCACTTCTTTTGAATCAAGGCTGAAAAGATTCATTTTTGCTTCTGCGTTTTTTAAAGCAAATCATTATTAATATCTTTAACTGCACTGTAACTTTTATTCTTGTATTTTATACCTATCTTATTTTTATTTTAGCTTGCATTAAATGTAACTATCTTGATTTGTAAATGAATGTTTTTAAATGGATTGAAGTGTGAAGTTTATGATTTGTTTTTCTTGCACTTTTAATGTTTATTTTTGTAAAGCACTCTGATTGCTATATCAATGAACATGCCTTGCCTTAAAAGGTAGGGTAGGTAAGAATGGAGAAACCAGCTCGAGTGCGCTAGAATTTGAAAGTACACAACCGGAAAAAATCTGCCTCTTCCTTCAGACTTCCTTACAGAGCCCCTCCTCCAACACACACGAACGCACACATGACCAATGAGGGCACGAGATAAGTTTGTGCACGAGATGGAAGGCTGACAGGCAGGTAGGCCATCCAGTTATTTTAGCCGGGCCGGCTCAGATGATTGGTCGTGCTTTTTACAGCGCCACGGCTTCCACAGATGAATTTTTTTTATGTATTTATTGTCAAAGCATTTAATATATTCATTGCTATCGGGATGTTAAGAGCATTCCATGGAATATAACAAAAAGTGTTTCTGAAGTGAATTACCTACCCCACCTTTAACTTGCCTCATGAAATCAGTGCAGTGCTTTGTATACGGTGTGTGAGGGTAACATGCATACAGACTTCCTCTGTGGTTTTATGAGCAGGGAAGTCATTTTAAGCTCTGTCTCCAAATCTGTCTGTGTGTGTCTATGATTCAATCAGGTAGCAGTGCAAAAGAAAACATTTATGTTTACACGGTTTGTCCGAATAGAAACATGAGTATTCATACGAGGACTACTCTCAGCGCTCACTGAGTCACTTTGTTCCCCTTTTCTTCAGATGTGGTTGTAATTTTCTTGCCGTGGAGCCACGCTGTCTGACTTTAAGAAATCGAGAGGAAAATGTTCTCCTGAAGTGTTAAACATCAACACCCACACACCACTTATTAGAACATGTTTTCTTATGTTCACCTCACCCCGTTTTTAATGTTGGTTTCCCACCGTAGAGACATGTTTCTCAAGTCAAAGAGTTTGATGTCGCCGTTGTCGTAGCCAGCACACACACAGCGGTCCTGATCATTAAAGGCATGACCTGTGATGAAAGGGTCAAAGGAACAATTAACAGTGCTTTCGTTCATAATGGTTAAAGAACACTTAACCAGAAGTTTGAAACAGGACTGGTCTTTTGGAGAGCTGAAATGTTTTTATTTCACACACCTAATGCAACCGTCCAGCAGTCCCTCTTAGTTTCTCCTTCCCCGGGCTCCATGTTGGCTACAGGTGAATCCTTCTGTCGGGTATCCCACACCTTTACTGTCCCTGTAACACCATAGAGGGTTTTACATTAAGCTCTCTTTGTTCTTGATCCAAGATTCAAGGCTTTTATTGTCACGTGTGCATAGCTACAGTGTAGTTATGACAATGAAAATCTTAGGTCACAGGCTCCTCCAACAGTGTAACACAATAAAACAGATAATAGTGCAAATAAATAAAATAATATAATAGAAGTAGTGCAGAATAGTCTACAAGTAATTGGAATATTGATTTACATAAGTTGCAAACAGATGAATTTTATGGATGTTCTTTCAAAAGTTCAGGTGTTTAACAGTCTTATGAATGGGACGAAACTGTCTCTTGCGATTGCTTTGAAAAGTTGTATTCATAAACTACATTCAACTTTGTTATCGCTCTTACCGTCTCTGCTTCCAGTGACTATCTCGGGTGCGCCATCACCGATCCCCAGGCCGCCGACACCATCAATACTATTAATGATCTCTTTGTGGGCCTTAACACTGAACACCGGAGTACCAGACACCTCCAGGTTCCTGTGGACAACAGAAGCATCCACAGTGAAGGAAACAGTCAACTTAAAAACAGGGTCAGTGTGACCTCACTTTCAATTCAGTCAGACAGTGATGTATCTTTCACATATTCCATAACTAATTGTCCATTTGAACATCTTCAAATGGACAACCAGCTTTAGCACACAATGGTTTTCTTTCATCATATCACTTTAATACTGGCAATAAACAGATGGTGTGATAAAGGTGGATGTGGATTAAATACCATATATTGAGATTTCCACCAAAATCCCCAGTTGCTAAGTGTCTTTGTTGAAGAGATGTGGCCCCGAATGTCCCGCACTTGATTGGTTTAGGAAATTCTTGCTGAAACATATGAGAGGTGAAGTTTAAACTACACATATATATAATGTGACATTGAACCAATTGCCCAAAAAGCATTATTTCAAATGATTAAGAACAGAGTCTCATCCACCCTAACCCTGATACAGATACATAACATTATTAATCATTATTTTCACGCCTTCTCTACACTGTTGATGTTCTTATGTTGACACACACACACTGCTGTACATTGATGTCTGTTGTAGGGCTGGTATTTAGTACTTGAAGGACAGGTGCACTTCAGGTCAAATTGTCCTTCAACATTAAAGTAATGACAACATTTCACATACCAATTTATCCTTAAGTAATATGACATATAGTATTCTGAAATGGGCCATTCTGCATAGTGAGTACTTTCACTTTTGATACTTTAAGTGACTCTTAACACTTTACTTAACAAAAAAAGTGGTATGGCTTAAGTACTTCCTCTACCACACACACACACACACACACACACACACACACACACACACACACACACACACACACACACACACACACACACACCACACACACACACACACACACACACACACACACACACACACACACACACACACACACACACACACACACACACACACACACACACACACACACACACACACACACACACACACACACACACACAATGTATAAAAAGGTATATACATTTTATAAAGCCCACGAGGAAAAAGATGCCTGAACTATTACTACTAAATGTCCTTGGCTGTCTTTCTTAACATTGCCTGTTGCTATGGAGACAGTAACCTAGCAAGACTTTTCTGGCTAACTAAGCTAACCCCAACACAAGCGGGGTTCATAGCGCTTTTCCTGAGTAAAATATAGGACGAAGGCAAACAAAAAGTAAAAGGTTGACTTGTTCTGTACCTCCTTGATAAGCTGAGCCTCTCCTTGCTGTACTTCATATATCTGCATTACTCCAGTTCCTCTCGCATAGTTCCCCAGGCAGACGAACTTCGCGCTGCAAGGAATCCATTTACTGTCAAACACCGTGTAGTTCAAACTCTTCTGAAAATGCGAAATAATCTGAGGCTTATCTAGTGGCGATGACATCTTGGCTGTTTGGTTGATAATATGTTAAAAGTAGATTTTTCTTGTAAAAGTATCAAGAAACCCGACGTCAGATGCAGCTCGCTGCCAAAACAAATGACGTTGAGAATGTCCTACAGCTGAGCGTATGGGTGTCTAAATATATGCCTGACAAATATGTTAAATGTAAGTAAATATTGTACGTATTTTAAACACACAAAATATTTACCCATTCACTCAACTGCCTTACAATAAATAATAGGACTCAAACGTGAGATATTTGTCTGTTACTATTCGAACATTTACAATTTTCTATCTACAGGCGTCAATGTTGTATCTGTTTGGGTCCTTTTCGTTACACGAGGACATCCACATGCCTCTGTATCCACAGTCTGCCTGAATATTTGACTGTTTAATTGGATTTTATATCAGTTTAAGATATGGACACTGAAACAATTCCAACCCCAGACGCTGGCGTTGCCATGGAGAGTAAAGAAGACACAGAGGCTTTCACAATGGTGAAGTCGAAAAAGACTCAGAAGCGAAAACGTGAACAAGATGGAGCTGACATGGACACAGAGGCGCCCGTGGCGAGCAAGAGACCGCAGTTTCCACCTATTTCAAGCGACAAATTAAAGGTAAATAAAGAGTAAACTGTCTCTATACATGTGTTATGTATGTGTTCTTCAATATCAACAGAAATACGTGTTTTTTGAAGTTATTAGTCTCCTTCACAAAGTAGCAAGTAACTAGTTTTGCGCTTGCGCAGTATGGTCTTGTTACTGCACTAAATAAAGCCACTGTATGTTATAAATGGCACAACACTGGTGGAAGAAGTAATCCGATCACTTGATTAAATACAATCTATTTTACAACAACGTAAACTACTCTATTACTAGTACTGGTCAGTGGTCATGCATTGGAAATAATAAGTCATAGTATGTAGGTATTATTAGCAAAATGTACTTTAAGTATTATAAATAATGTATTGATTGTACAGTACAGTACAGTACAGTACAGTACAGTATCAGTGTTTAACTATAATCTATCTATGATGTTGTTGGCCATCAACCTGCTCTGATTTTTCCTATTTTTGCTGCATTGCTAAAGTGCTTTTTATGCCCAAATCTTTTGTTTCTGTAACAATTTTGTTTATTTACTTAAGTTTATCACAGGCATTCAAAATCACAACACACACAGCAGTAAAAGGCCTAATGAGAGCACCCACAATTTAAAAATGAGCATTGCACATTAATGGATCAGTAATGAAATGTAGAAAAAGCACAATCAAACACACAAGTGACAAGTGCGCTTTAATTGTTAATACCAAAGTACATGGTAATGGTAATACTTGTTGTTAATGTTGTGTCAGTAAGATGAGGATTGTTATGTGTGTGTTTCAGGGCGCAGATGAGATGCGCAAAGTCGCTGTCCCGGCTCACAGATACACCCCCCTGAAGGAAAACTGGATGAAGATATTCACCCCCATCGTAGAGAACCTACAGCTTCAAGTTAGATTCAACCTCAAGACTAGGCATGTTGAAATCAAAGTAAGTTTACCCTTTAAATATAGGCGAAGTTGACTTTACTGGCCCTTTTTACAATGATTCCTTTCTGGTACCCACACGTTTGTCCACATTCTAATAACATGCCTTCTTTCTTCCAGACGTGCAAAGACACAAAGGACATCGGCTCGCTCACAAAAGCTTCAGATTTTGTTAGAGCGTTTATTCTGGGATTCAATGTTGAAGTAAGTGAACTAATGGAAGGTTTTGATAAGATGTATATGTTTTCATGTCATGGCTCTGGCATGGCTAACATATTCAACATACAAAGCTGCCAGTGGTTAAGATCATTTTGGACTGAAATCAAGATTAAAACGTCCTCTTTTCTCCCCAGGACTCCCTCGCTCTCCTCAGATTAGATGAGCTTTTCCTTGAAAGCTTTGATGTTACAGACGGTAAGATGTCATGATACATATTTGCCTCTTTAAAACGTTATGTCCCCTGCTACGAAATGAACTGAATGTCTTAAATCGTGGTGAGTATTTAATTGTTCCTCATGGTGTCTTTCTTTGCAGTGAAACCTCTGAAGGGAGATCACTTATCCAGAGCCATCGGAAGGATAGCAGGGAAGGGAGGAAAAACCAAGTTCACCATTGAAAACGTCACGAAGACTCGCATTGTGCTCGCAGAGACGTGAGTACTCTTCATTATTTCAGATCATTTTACCAATACAATACATAATATGCAAAAGAGCAAGAGCAGCACACACAGATTTGCTGCCGATATTACGTAATTTCGGATGGCGGCCCCACAGAAAGTTGCTATCAGAAACAATGCCTGACGTGTTTTGGACGTAATCTCGTCTTTGTTTACATTAGCAAGCCTCGCTAACACTCAGAGCTAACCTGTACTGGAGAGCACATGTGTTTTAAAAAGCAGGAAATAAAAAAAGGAACTCACCTTGTGATAAACCCGCAAGAGATAAAACATTTGAGCTCCATACTGTTTCAGAAATAATCCTTGAAGTGGTTTAGAACAGGATGGCGTTTTATCACAGCAGAATTGAACTTTGTCTCCGGTAGAATTCTGATCAGGCATTAGCTCCGCCTCCTCTTATTTTTTCAAGCTAAAGACCCAAAATCAGCATTTCTCTAACAGGGCTGCAAAAGAGGGGTATGAGCAGTATGAGGCATGGCTACAATGGGTGATCTGTTTGGTATTTTAAGCAATATAGGTATGGCCCTACAATATATTTTCCCAATATAGCATAATAGGTCCACTTTAAGTTCTTTAAAAATAAATGTTTTGCTTTCCGTAACTGTGACAAATGTTACATTGTATTAACTATTTTTATTATATTATATATTTGTAAAATTCTAATTCAACACGTCACCTTTGCCGGGTTTTTTCCCCGGGTTTTTGTTAAATGCCGAAAAAAACATTTTGATATAATTATTTAATGGCAATTGTGAATTCTTAGCTTGTTTTTTCCTTGAATGCATGCATTATATATGAACTTTTTTAGCTTTCAAATTAACTTGTTGGTGTACAAAATATAGAGAAATGTCTATCTCTTGTTTCTCTTAACTGATGAACACTCCTTCTTCTGTGTCTCAACAGAAAAGTTCACATTTTAGGGTCTTTCCAGAACATCAAGATGGCCCGGACAGCGATTTGTAACTTAATCTTAGGTAAGAAAGATGTTTATATGTGGAAAAATCAGTACAAGATTTTGGTTGATGTCGTATTTGGTTAAGAGCTCTTTGTACCCACATGCAGTGCTGAGAAGTGACCTTTAAACCCCTTTTTGCCCCTACAGGAAGCCCACCTTCAAAGGTCTACGGTAACATCAGGGTGGTGGCTAGCCGGACTGCAGAGAGATTCTGATTGGCTGATGTGTGTGTTTCACTGTCCCCCATTGGCTGGTGTGATTCCCTCGTTGATCTGGGACTTTTTTTCTTGGACTGCCACCTCAGGCTTCTCTTTTATGGCCCCGTGAATTAAGCTGAAACCTTTTTGGATCAGTTGAACCAAAGCATGAGGATAAATGGATACACAGAGTTCAAGTATCGGTTGTTTGTGTAAATAAATAATTTCAATCCCCACTAACGAATGAGTCACTGAAGTGTATCAAATGTAGAAATCATCAGGGTTTCCACAGGTCTTTGAAACTTTGTACTTTAGGAAAAAGTATAAAATCCTTAAAGGGTTTTTGAAAATACACATAAAAAGACACGAGTCATTAAAAGTGCTTGAATGTGTTTAAAATTGAAGTTATTTAGATTTTTTTCAAATTAAAATACAACAAAGTCTGCATGCATTTCTCCCGCAGTTGTGTCAGTTTTACACACTTCCTGCTTAGAGAAATGTAATAACCTTAAAGTGTGTCTCCCACTATGCAATGTTTGGTCCTTGAATTTGAGGAAACTATGCCTGGAAAGTCCTTGAAATAAAATATTAGAGCATGAGGAAATCTGGTCAATAACATCCCAAAGGAAAAATCTAAAACTTTCAACATTTCAAAGTTTATTTAAATGTATTTAATTTCATACAGTATCAAGTTTCCAACAGTCCCACAGCATAAGATGCAGCATGCAGAAAAAAGGAAAAACTTCAGATATCCCCACACAAACTAAAAAGAACCCGAGTCCCTCTGAGAAAAACAGCACTTACAACCTAAAGCGCGGTCTGAACTATACAGAGAACAGAGAGCCAGAACTGCATTTAACAAATACTTATATACAAAAGAAAGAAAAACATAAAAATATCCCCTTTAAGCTGAGTACAGTGTGTGGCAGTTTGAGACAGGATCAGATATGCAACCTTTACTGGAATAGAAGCATCTGGCTGACCCGGTTAAATACAAAACATGTAGTTCAGTTCATTTGGATTACCTCTCATAGTATGTGTATATTTACCAACGTTTGGCAAAATCCATATTGTATACCATTACATTCTTAAATATATTAACATCACCATCCATGTGTAAACAAGAGGATTATTTAAAAAAAAAAAATGGATCTACATGCACAACCAAAAAATATATATTTCCATGTCATGCAAGCACAGGGAGACCCAGGCGATGCAGAGCTTTTGGAAAACTGCTGATCAAACCTGAAGCTGGCCTCAGAAGCAAAATTATGTTTATAATAGGAAGCATATTCCTATAATAAATACAAAATGTGGTTGAATTTCTCCATGTTTGTCTTACTGGGTGTGAGGGGAGAAAAAGACAGAACAAAGAAGTGGGAGAGGAAGCCATCTTTCCAAATGGACACGTTCCAAAAAAACAAAAGTATACAGCCCATCCCTTTACACACTGATGCCAACGTGGTAAGAATTGAAGTGTTGACCCGTCCACTGAGAACATATTCAGAAGAGCTCCAATTGCTGTAATAGATGAGCGCGCATTGATAATATACACATAATGGTTATAAAACGCTGCCTGCAGATAACGGTAGGGTAGGTAAGAATGGAGAAACCAGCTCGAGTGCGCTAGAATTTGAAAGTACACAACCGGAAAAAATCTGCCCCTTCCTTCAGACTTCCTTATAGAGCCCCTCCTCCAACACACACGAACGCGCACATGACCAATGAGGGCACGAGATAAGTTTGTGCACAGATGGAAGGCTGACAGGCAGGTAGGCCATCCAGTTATTTTAGCCGGGCCGGCTCAGATGATTGGTCGTGCTTTTTACAGTACTACGGCTTCCACAGATGAATTTTTTTAATGTATTTATTGTCAAAGCATTTAATATATTCATTGCTATCGGGATGTTAAGAGCATTCCATGGAATATAACAAAAAGTGTTTCTGAAGTGAATTACCTACCCACCTTTAACTTGCCTCATGAAATCAGTGCAGTGCTTTATGAATGGTGTGTGAGGGTAACATGCATACAGACTTCCTCTGTGGTTTTATGAGCAGGGAAGTCATTTTAAGCTGTCTCCAAATCTGTCTGTGTGTGTGTCTATGATTCAATCAGGTAGCAGTACAACATTTTATGTTTACACGGTTTGTCCGAATAGAAACATGAGTATTAATATGAGGACTACTCTCAGCGGAAAAAGTGTTTCAGAAGTGAATTACCTACCCCACCTTTAAGTTGTTATGTACTCACTCTATTCACACTATATCTTCCAGTTCTTAGCCAAGTCAATCCAGCCTCTTGTCATTAAATACAAATCTCAGTGTGAACGCAGAGCCTTTCTTTACTTTGGAGATTGTCTTATGGATGCACACTGCTAAATGAGAGAGTAAACCAGTTTGCAGCCACAAATAATTTTTCTGGAAAGACATTTTCTTGGCATTAATATATCTACCTATGATTTCATGACAGGAAAACAAGGATAACCTCCAACAATATAAACACATTCTTAAGTATGATTAAAACTAGCTTCTCGCAGACAAAGACAAACATGGATTGCTTTACTGGTCTAATCAAAACAGAGGAAGGAAAATCTGAAATGTAGTTTGCATGTAATATGACTGGAGGGAGTGCCGGTCTGCGGGACATGAATGATGAAAGGTAATAACTTGAACTGGTTTCTGGATATGTTCTGGTTGGCACTTCATACCCTACTTTATTGTTGTACTGTAAGTCAAGTGTTCATAATATGCTATACACTTCCCCTTCAAGAGACAACCGTAGATATACTTGTGTTTCTTTATAAAAGACAAGAACAAAAACATAAATATCAAAAATAACAATTAACAAAAAAGAAAAAGAAAGGATGAATTATGAACAAGCCAACGAGCCCCTTTCCTTTCTCCCCCCCCCATCCAAAAATGGAGTTGCTCTCCAAAAATGACAGTTATAAGTCCTTCAGTCTCTTAAAGTGCTACGACCTGGTTATTGAGAGGATTACAGTTCAATAACACTTCAGTGTGGCTTCACAAGGCCTGTGGTTTCTGACAGAATGAGTGGCTTCAGAGAGAGAGAGAGGGAGAGAGAGAGAGAGAGAGAGAGAGAGAGAGAATACTTCCATTGAGTTACACAGAGAGCGCTTTGCCGGACGTCTGGAGCACATCTTCAGAGATGGTGGAGAAAGCGAGTGTTGAGGAGGAGGGGGGGGGGGGGTCGACGAGCAGGGAGCGCTCACACGTCCACCACCATCTTTTTGTGTATATCGAGACCGCCGACCACCTGGAGGGAGGAGAGGGAGGGAGGCAAAAGATAATACATTTATTATTCTAGTCAGATCATCAGAATCCTGGTTCTCTGTCTACCTTGTGTTTTTTGTGGGTGAAGCAGGCTTCAAACGACACATGCGGAAAGTATTTTTAAACGTTTTCAGGTTTAAATTATATCTTATAGATGTCTACTTTAAAGGGGACCGATCATGCAAAATGCACTTTTTGATGTCTTTCATACATAAACATGTGTCCCCGGTGTGTCAGGGAACTCACGCAGCGTCAGAAAATAAAACCCTCTCTCTTTTCCTCCGTACCCAAATCTCTAAAAACGGGGCTACAACGGAGCTGATCCAGATTTGCGGCCGATATGACGTAATATCGGAAATGTAGGCTGGCTTTACACCCACGGCCCTATCAGAAACGTTGCTATCAGAAACAATGCCCGACTGTTTTGGACGTAATATGGTCGGTGCATGTTTACATTAGCATCGCTAACACTCAGAGCTAACCTGTACTGGAGAGCATGTGTGTGAAGAAGCAGGAAATAAAAAGGAACTCACCTTGTGGTATAACCGGCAAGAGAGAAAGCCTTTGAGCTCCATACTGTTTCAGAAATAATCCTTGATAATCCATGATATGGCGTTTCATCACGGCAGTATTTAGTTTAGACAGTAGCTGCCGGGTCCCGCATGAGCTCAGCCGCCTTTTTTTGTTTTTGTTATCAATCTTTAATTTTTTTAAAGCTTTATACCCCAAATCAGCACTTTTGAAACAGGAAGTGAAATAGAGGGATATGAGGCATGGCTAGAATGGGTGATCTGTTTGGTATTTTGAGCAAAACACTTCATAGACATATTTTTATATATCTGAGACCTATGCTATTGCCTAAAAATAACATGATAGGTGACCTTTAAAGTCCCTTTGGAAAGCATATCCTCATTTTATCTGAAATGAATTTATTAATGTTTTAATGTCTTGTTTACTATTTAAATGTTGCCCTTCATGTAATTCATCATTCATGAAGAATTAATACTTTTTAAAATATTTGATCTGTGATGCACTTTGTACTTAAAACTTATAAATACAGTTTAATATTATTATTATTATACCTTTTTTAATCAATATGTATTATTAGTTTGGACTACATCAATATACTGTGATTCTTTTTGCTATTAATCTTCAAAATGGTCCCGGTTTGGCTTTTGACAGGACTGTATGACTATGAATATAAATATACGTTTATCTTACAGTTGTAATCTTTGAAAATATTGTTACACTAGCTTCAACTGGATGCCCTAAATGTAGAATAGATAATATAATTGATTTGTGGCTTGTTAGTGCCAAATCGTATGTATCAGGCTATATTTTCAGCCTTTACACCATATTTCAAGTATGAGACTAAAAACCCAGAGCTGTTGAGCATAAGCAAAAAGCTGTTTTGGTTTCCAGAGTTTTTTGCCCACCATAACATGCTTCATCAGCAGAAATCCCACCGCCCCACTCCCATAAAACCCCACTCTGTCTCAGACTTACTAAACAGAACTCTTCGAAGGATATCTTGCCGTCTCCGTCTCTGTCTGCGTTGATGATGGTTTTGTCCACGATCTGCTGCAGCTGCGTGTCCTTCAGGTTGCTGCCCACCATCATCTTCAGCACCTGGAAGAGCTCGCCGTTGGAGATGTAGCCGTCCTTGTCCATGTCGTAGATCCTGAAAGCGACTGTGAGCGCGGGGTGTGGCGTGAGGGAGGGGAGGAACAGATGAAGAGGGAGAGAAAAGAGAGTAAATCATTAACACAGCAACAGCTACCAAGCACCAAATGTAAGGAGGTATTGTCTCATTGTTCATTTGTTCTTTGCTCCATAGCGTCTCTTGATAACTGGACTTAAACTCCCACTGTACATTTTACATATTCAATTTAATATTTATTACATTTTTTTAACTTCTTAATGCTATTTTATTTCTATTTCTGAAATATTTTGGACTGTTTATTTCTAGTGTCTCAATTTCTCTTATGTACATTGCCTTGTTTTTTATGCTGCTGCAACGCAAACATTTCCCAAATTGGGATCAATAAAGTACTATCTATCTATCTATCTATCTATCTATCTATCTGTCTGTCTGTCTATCCATCTATCTATCCATCTATCTATCCATCTATCTATCCATCTATCTATCCATCTATCCATGTATCTATCTATCTATCTATCTATCTATCTATCCATCCATCCATCTATCTATCTATCTATGTATCTATCTATCTATCCATGTATCTATCTATCTATCCATGTATCTATCTATCTATCTATCTATCTATCTATCTATCTATCTATCTATCTATGTATCTATCCATCTATCTATCCATCTATCCATGTATCTATCTATCTATCTATCTATCTATCCATCTATCCATCTATCTATCTATCTATCTATCCATCCATCCATCTATCTATCTATCTATGTATCTATCTATCTATCCATGTATCTATCTATCTATCCATGTATCTATCTATCTATCTATCTATCTATCTATCTATGTATCTATCTATCCATGTATCTATCTATCTATCCATGTATCTATCTATCTATCCATGTATCTATCTATCCATGTATCTATCCATGTATCTATCTATCCATGTATCTATCCATGTATCTATCTATCTATCTATCTATCTATCTATCTATCTATCTATCCATCTATCCATCTATCCATCTATCCATCTATCTCTCTTAATCTGTGAGAGTCAACTACCAGACTGACAGTGAGGGTTCAGACTCTGTTACAAGTTCAACTTATTACCCTTATTAAACATTGTCCCCCATGATAAACTTTTGAGCAAACCAAAACAACAATCCCTGGTTAAACAGGAGTCTAAAAGTTTTCCAAACCTGTTTGTTTTGAGAGGTTTGTCTAACTTTAAGCATGTTGAGACAGAACAGCAATGAAAAGCTAATAGAAACCCTCAGGTGGTGGACAGAAAAGTAATTTTCAAACACTGCTCAACATTTTTTCCCAGAGGAGTTTATTTGTAATAGCAGTGGTGAGACACACAGAACCGAGACACACTGGTTTTAGTCCCAAAGCAGCAAATCAGGCAGGTATATTTGGGGATAAGAGACTTTGAAACCGTAGTGCTACCATCAGTTTGAATGAAGAAACAGCTTTACTTACACCGGAGCTTCTGCTCTTTGTCCCCCTTGACGCTGAACTGTGAGACTCCCTCAATGAACTCTGGGAGAGGAAAGAACAATCAGAGATTTGGGTATTAACAGGCTGATGATAACATTATGGCAGTATTGTAATATATTGATAGTGGCTGTACAAGGCCTATGATAGAGCTAAGGCAGGGGTGTCCAAACTACGGCCTGGAGGCCAAACCCGGCCCCATTTTTCCCCCAGCTAATAAAAAAAGTATAATGAAATATGGCCCACAAATGAAACTTGTGCTTGTCATAGATCGTACTTCTGAAATATATGTGTACAAATATATGACACAGTATTCATGTGTTAATGAGCCCACTTTTCAAATAAATTCAGTCAATTAAAGTTGGAAACATTTTCAAACAAATCTTAGTTGATCAAAAAAAAGCCCAATAACTTAATTACATTACAAGCTTGAAATCTACCCTTTATATTTCTGCTTTTTAAAAGCAATCTGAGGCTTCTGTTTTAAGGAATGAGCTGCCAACAAAAGAAATGAAACCCTGTGGAAGCTGTGATGGAGGCTGTTGTGTTTCTTAACCAGTTCAGCCCTGAGCCTGTTTTTCAGGTCTCAGGCTCGAAAATGACATTCCCAGAACAAATGACTATAACTTCACTTCTAAAAGGGGTAAATTAATAATCTTTTTTCTCAAAGCAATGATAAACCTGTGAGTTGGATGTAGAAGAGTCAGAATCAATATAGATGTTTTTTATTTTAAAGTAAATTCAGATTGAACATAGTAAAAAAATGTAAATTATAGTGTCCGTCCAAAAAAAAACATTACTTATAGTGAAAACCACCCTTGAATGATGGGTTAGTAGACTAAAAGCTTTTGGAATCCAAACTATAACATATAATAAGTACCCTGTATCAAGATTGACTCAAAACAAGTGACATTTGACTTTTTTAGAGAGATTTAGAAAAAAAAAAACACTTCTGGGGTCATTTGGGTGGATTTTCCATATCTCTGGCCCCCCTCGGTCGATTTTGATGATTGACACCTCTTTTTAACCGTTAGAGCCAATAGAATCGAGGGGTAGTTCCTAAATCCATCTAAACATTACCCATTGGTAAATGAGTGATGCGTAGCATGCCCAAAACCGGAAGCTCTCATACACTCTCGTAGCTCTCATAGCAACTATATATGAAAACTCAGTTTTTGACATAAACGTTAATGATGGATTATCAGTAATAATTTTTAAGTGACAGACATATTGGATTAACCTATGGATTAACCTATGGATTAACCTATGGATTAACCTATGGATTAACCTTCAGCAGCGTTTTAATGCCATTGAACACAACTTTTGATCAGAAAACAGCAAAGGTAAGACGCATTTGCCGTTTTGGCCCCGTAAAGCTAAGTTGTGTGTTGTCTGGTTTCGCCTTCGCTGGTCGCACAGTGATGATACTTATACCATTGGAATCTGTGGAATCTCAGCTTTCATATGATATATTGTTTGTGCAGTCAATCAATGAAGTATAACATATTTCTACCATAAGTTATGTGCTAAGTGCGTTAGCCCTCTTTCGCTTAGTGCTAATTCAGAGGCTTGGCGTTAGACTTGTGTTTTGTTTCGGTAAAAATGGTTCATATTGTCTGAGTCACATTCATAGTTTGTTAAATGTTAAGAAGCCCTCAGACGCTGTTTCTTACAAGATGTTGCCGGTACCGGGGGCATGGGGCTTGCATTTTCTAGTATCAAGCATGATTTACCTACATTTGATTGATTTTGCTAACTTATAACTTAACTTATGAGGCGATATACCTCATCTCTAGTGAGTGGCCCAGCCCTTTGTATGTTTTTCTGTATGTGGCCCTCACTGAAAAAAGTTTGGGTACCCCTGAGCTAAGGAATATCACACAAAACAAACTTAACAATCCAAGAATATTGAATAATATATCAGTGTATTTGAACTCTTTCCCCAATCTTTATTCAATGATTAACATTATTTAATTAGCATATGATTCCCTGCTTTCCATTTTGGACCGATCACAAACCAGGTCTCTAGTGAAGGTAATTCTTGTTTGTTTGCTCTGGATGATGACTGTTGTCTTGCACACAGTCCTTTTACAGTATTCCTATGTGACTAACTTGCGTGATGGGAGACTCAACCGGACTTCTGTCAAATAATATATGTCAGGTAGTTACCATCACATTTCCTCCACACAGTTCACATTCAGCTGAAACATATTTGGTGTCTTCTGAATCTGAGGCAGCTGTTCTGTTATTTTAAGGACGTACTGAGCTTGATGTATGCTTGCAAGGCGTGACTCGATTAGAGCCTAGATGCCAAATACCAACTCAATTCACATAGTAAGTCCATTTATGGGAGAGAGCTGGCTGAATTTAAAATATGAATAGGCCTTCAGATCAAATTAAAGCAATTACTGAGGCCTAATTTGTTAAACCTCTTGGTGCTCTGCTAAAGTCACAACAACATATAGGGCTAAACTGGGAAAGTGGCACTTCAGAGTTTAAAACCTAAGATGAGTGTAGAGCAATTTAGAGTTTTTCTGAAATATGATTACATCTTGCAGTGTTTTTGTGTGTTTAAATCAGCTCACAAACATAACAGACATAGTGCAGAATAAAGCTGTAAAACTGTTGTTTCCAGAGTTTATATTTCAGGGTATATGCAGGAATCCTGAAGTCAAATGTAATACCTTTTAAGACCTTTTTTAAGACCCTTTCCACACATTTTAAGACCTCATCGCCACTTCGAGTTTTAACCGGTTACATTGGCGACACACTTTACCTCACATTTACTATATACAGTATTGATTGTCCTTCCTCCTTAGCTTCCAACCATTTGAACGCAAACTTGCATTTCCCCATAACGATGTTGTTTAACAACCGGCGTAAACGGACCTCCGCGCGCTATCAAGCAGTGAGCGTGCGATGTCCTGTTCAGATGACGTCTAATCCAACGGGATGCCATAAATAAACTACACAGAATCACACTACACACCTACGCAATGATTACATTCAGGCAGACTGTAGAATACAACCTCTTTGGACAATTTATATACTTATTGAAAACAAGCTACAAAATGTAATACCTTGGGAAATGCCGTTTAATATTTTTAATAGCCTTCATTTTCGCTAAATTGATTTATCAACTTGTAATACTTTTTAAGACCCCGCGGACACCCTGTATATACCTGGCTGCTAAATCCTCAGAACCGTTACAGGATGTGTATTTTGTAACTTTCTTTATTTTTTTTATTATAATTGTTTATCTTTATTACTTTTGTATGCATGCTTCTTAGGTAACATCGTCTTTGGCTCTTTTCTGCTGTAACAATGCACATTTCCCCTCTGTGGAACTAATAAAGGTATTGTGATTCTGATTCTGATATGGCCTACCTTTGAAGTCCACCTCTCCGTTCCCGTCCGTGTCGAAGATGTCGATGACCCTCTGCACCAGCGGGTTCTGCTGCAGCTCGGGCAGCGACATGAACTCCTCCACGCTCAGAGAGCCCGAGTTATCCAGGTCGAGTTTCTTAAACCTCTTCCCTAGCCTCTTAATCTCATCAGCATCGACTGCACAAAGACGCAAAGAGAGAGAGAGGGAAATAGATGAGACATTTTCCTTGCAGACATTTAAATAATGTTCTAAGCAATTGTCAGAATAAGAATTCAGTAAGTGTGCAGGGGTCAGACAGATGGTGCCCTGATAGCACTCAAAACTCAGCCTTAAAAGGAACGGAAAGAACATGGAATGAAAACAAGATTTAGGTCGAAATGACAGGAAAATGAGACACAGCACAATGCACCTGCAAATATGAATATCCTACTAACACCTGCATGAACAGTATACTCATACATTGAAGTAGCCAACACTTGCATCTAGGTCAAGGACACCACTTCCGGCCCGCACAGGACGGAGCTCCGAGCAGACCCACAGAAACCACAGTACATTTTGTTCTGCCTCCTCCACAGAGACCTCAACTGGGTACAACTATTGAAAAAGCTAGTACAGATGAACACATTTGACCTTAAACCAATCCCCGGTAGAAGTGATTAGAGTAAGAATGATCAGAAAGACAAACACATAGATCTTGCAAACTTACAGCCTTTGTTGTCTACTGGTGCTTTCTTAATATTGAATTTCAGTTGCCCTGCCATCAGAAACAGCTCCGCAGCCGGTGTAATGCACAATGGCAAGGAGTAATCCAGAAGCATTAATAGCGCCAGTTAATAATTACTATATAAGCTTATTCACACCTTGTCACCTGATCCTGTCGGCCAATCACAAACTACTAGAGCTGGGATCCTATATGACAGGAGCTATCTATTAATCTACAAGAGAGAAGGAAAGGTGCGACTTAACGAGGCAAAGACTTTATTCATATCAGATTTATTAACCTCCACAAGGACAGGGAAAGATAACAGTGAATGTTTGATGTTCACAAAAGCCAATATAAACCTGATTCAAAAGCAACTCTTACCCATGCTCTTTTAATCATACACTGCATTCAAGAGGATTATTGTGCTCATCTTCAGGTTATATTTTGTGTCTCTCCTGGGACATGTCTCCATGCTTTAATGTTCAAAAAGCTCTTTATTTTTCTCATACTGCCTGTGCTGCAGCACCTCTTTTCACCCTCTGTCTGAAACCAGAGCCCAGTCTGCTGATTGGTTAGCTGGCCGGCTCTGCACCTGGTCAATTGAATTAGTGATACAAAAGCCACTGCAGCCTGGTAATTAATACAGTTTGCCCTGTGAACCGATGCAAACAAACAGCCCTCAGTGTACAATGGATGCCTCTAATACTGTGTTTCATTTCCATAATTTTTGCACACATTAGGTGGATGTATTCTGAATGAGCAGCCGCTGGTTTACTGCTTTGTTTGAATGTATCTGAATACTACTGATACACGTTGAATCTGCACACAAACAGGTACAAGCAGATACAAGCAGCCATGTTTCTGTGTCCCACTGTGTGTGAGTTATCGGAGCAGAGCACGCGGCTGTCCTCTCACACAAAACACTTCCTTATCAGCAGCCTCCCATTTCCTGTTCACGGCAGATGACACCAGCTTAGTCACAGCTACAGATAATCATTAAAGGGTAGGACTTGTATCAAGGGAGCTGCCCTGAGGCAATACTTTTTTAATTTGCAGTGTGGTAATAAATGTATTTTTGCTTTAGGGTTCAGCCTTTTCCTGACACACACACCTCACATTCTGCATGTTGGTGCAAAACCAACGGCACAGAACAACTGAGATAGCATCTGTTACTTTAGTCCAGCAATAACTTTATAATTAAGTGTAAAGTGTGGACATTTCAACTTGAATTTAAACTGCTCTACGGTTCTGTGTATCTCAAAATGTTGAAAGTGGTATTATTTCTGTGTAAATCAACAGATTGAGACTTCCAGGGTTTAGGGTTTTATTCCCACTCTGGCCAAAGGTCTTAATGTGCAAACATTAAGACCTATAGTAACCCTATATTTGGGCTTATTGTGTACGAAATAATAGGATGATGTAACCTCAATAGTTGTATGTTGTTTTTTTATTTGTGTGTAGTGCTAAAAATCTATTTTTCATTTAAGTCATTTTTAAGCTATTTTTTACAAAAATAACAAGTCACCAGCCCCTTCAAAAAGCATGTATTTGCTGTTTTTAAATTGTAAACTTCAACATTTGTGGGTCTCTGATTATTGGTCAGACACATCATGACATCTGAACATATCCCACTAGGCTCTTGGAAGTTGTTATGGGAATAGTATAGCATGTTATAGACCAGATGATTCATCAAATAATAGGCAGATTCATCAACAATGACATTAATCAATCTTAAGTCCTATAGATATGTATACACCTGACACTCTGTGAAGTAGAACCATGTTGATGTTAACCTTTTAACCGGCCCCCTTTTGTTGCTTTACAGTCAGGTGAGTGGCATAAAAAGGATCCCAGATGAAAAAGCCCTCTGACATTTACTAAACGTGGTGCTGTGGCTGCGTGGGGAACATCTGAACACCGAGCACATGATCCCTTCCTGCCCCCAGCTGCACAGTGAGTAGCTGCGGCTATTATTCATGCTTTCACACAGTCTGAGTCCCCTTCCTGGTCTCGACCCAACAAGCTCCTCGTCTGCCAGAAACCCAGACAGACTCCCAGAGGAGCCAAAGAAAACTCATGACTAAGACCATGATGCAGCACTTTTACTACAGCATCCAGTTTCACTTACTTATTTGACATTTGTCTCCTTCTGAAAACTGTTAGCAAGTCCTGCAGCACAGTGGGAGGTTTACGGCTTTACAGAAGACACTGAATACTAATGGGGATCTCTGATTTAACTATTGCCTCATGCAAACGCTTTACAGTGAGTGCAGTGAAAAAGGCTTAAATGTCCTCGAGCTTCACAAGCACCGACTGCCAACATCTCCAAACCTGGTGCGATGACAGGTATCGAATAACTGTCCAACAAATGAACTGCTCGGCAGCCTTGGTTTGCTCACAGTAGGAAGAGCAGAACCAAATAAAACGCTGGAACAAAGGGTCGCAGGTGTGGGAACAAATAGGAGAGCCAGGGACGAAAAGGATGAGATGTTCTTCATTTTTTCAATCCAAACACCTGCACATGCAATTACAGACGGGAGGGGGAGTTGCTCTTGCAGAAAGAGTGATGGAGAACACATGGAATATTTAACATTCTGTGTGTAGTTCATCTCTTCATTACTATGTTTAACGAAACAGCTTGTTGTGAAGGGATTTGAAGTGAGTAGGTGGGATAAAACTGTAAAATGGACCCTGTTCTTGCTGATAAGTAGCCTCCTCTACAGAGGAGGAGGAGACGGATGTTTTTAAACCCAGCGCAGGCCTTACTTTGCATGTTTCAGCCTCTGGCGGGAGAGACAGCTGCGATGATGTGGGCGATGTTGAAAACTGACACTCGAATGCACATCTTTGTCCCGTGGGGATAGTTAGAATATGGATACAGGCTGCAGGTGGTACATGATGGTTAAATCACATTTAAACCTATGATCACATTTGGTGCAGGAAATTAGATTTTTGATATACCTTTTAGGGCAAAAGATTCATTTTTACATTCACCAAGAGGATGAAAAGATGATATGTTGATTTAATACGTAAGATATATGTCCATTCATTTGGTTTAAACAATAATATAGAGGCAAAATGGAAGATTTAGGAGAAAATGATAATGTTTTATGTGACAGGAGCAGCTCTCTCTGCGGGAGCTCCTCACACTGCGGTGCTAATGATCGTCTCTGAGGGAGACCCGATGTAACTGTGAGATGATTATGATAATCTCATATACTCCGACACAGAGGACACACACTTTCATAAGCGCTGTATGCACCCTCAACTGTGTTACTAGGCAACTGGAACCTGTTAGCCCCACGAAGACACACACACACACACACACACACACACACACACACACACACACACACACACACACACACACACACACACACACACACACACACACACACACACACACACACACACACACACACACACACACACACACACACACACACACACACACACACACACACACACACACACACACACACACACACACACACACACACACACACACACACACACACACACACACACACACACACACACACACACACATCATTTCAACAATTGCTCATGAGGTGAACGCTTGAAAACACATGCATATGTAGAAGTCATCAGCTTCAGGCTCACACTCTGTCTGTCACACACACACGAGCATCGATTCACATGAATAATACTGCAGTGTTTGTCCAAATGTCCTCGTTCTGCTGGATGTTGTCTTGCATGTCTTAATGTACTGCTTGTGCCGTTCTAGCTGTAGTTCTGTGTGTCGAATTAGGGCTGGGAAATTACTCAAAAACTCAAATCAAATTAGGATTTCGGCTACCAGGCATTATGAGACAAGATAATTGTTTTAAATACAGAACACCTGCGCCTTTTCTTTACAGCAGTTTTCACTGAGTTTCTCACTGGACTATGTTTAAAGGTGGGGTAGGTAATTTTGGAGAAACCAGCTCGAGTGTGCTAGAATTTGAAAATACACAGCCGGAAAAAATATGCCACTTCCTTACAGAGCCCCTCCTCCAACACACACGAACGCGCACATGACCAATGAGGGCACGAGATAAGTTTGTGCACAGATGGAAGGCTGACAGGCAGGTAGGCCATCCAGTTATGTTAGCAGGGCCGGCTCAGATGATTGGTCGTGCTTTTTACAGTACTACGGCTTCCACAGATGACATTTTTTTATGGATTTTTTGTCAAAGCACTTCAGATATTCATTGCTATCGGGATGTTAAGAGCATTCCATGGAATATAACAAAAAGTGTATCTCGAGCCGGTTTCTCAAACTTACCTACCCCACCTTTAAGGTAGTTTACCAAAATGTTGTAACAAATGTTTGTGTTAGTGTGTGCCACATTTTATCTAAAATATTTTGGCCTTTAATATATCTAGTGGTGTTCAGTAGATTCAAGTTGTATAAGTGCAATGACTTTACGACAAAGTTGACCTTTTTTTTGTATGGAAGGTATTTTATGT